ACCTGCACGAAACCCGGACTCTACTGCTGAAGACTGATTGGCTAGAGCTCTTCCGACACGAACTGAGCGCCGTCACGTCCACTTCTGCTCAAGTTCCGCACACATGATTCTTCCAGGTTTTCCACGCGCATTATACCTGGTCAGGCAATTTATGTGGGTCGCATAGATTACTTTCATCGGATTCGGCAGGGTTTGAAAAACCTGTAGATAACCTGGAATAAAACTTGGACAATACCTGTGGAATCAGTTTTCTGAGTTAAATCTGAATCTGGGAAACCTGGGCGCTAAGGCTGTCCTTCTCCGTCCCACGAAAGTATGCAGTAAATTTTCATTTCTCAGTTTCTCGTGAACAAATTATCCGTTTCCTGTGCTGCGGTTAGCAAATGCAAGCGCATAATCTGCGCTTCTTGATGTTTTTTTTTACAGCTCACCACTGCTTCTTTCAAAGAAGCCAGCGATGGGCTCCTGGCTCTAGAATGTGAGGGTCGTCACATTTTCCTCCGTAATTCATTGACTATTTGTCGCCTTACCAGCAAGAAGGTATGGTTGGGATCGCCTTCATTCACTGCGTCCAGGAACATTTATTATGGGCGTAAAAGCATTGTTTTAGGCTCGCAACAACAGCGTTAACAAATGGCCAATCCGATGCCATCGTAAGCGCTTTTGCGTTTTCATTGGAAAATAAGGAACGCTGAATCGTATTTTGTTCAATCATATGTATTTATGTACACCACACAATGTTGGAGAGGACATGCATTCGTGGAACGGAGAAGTATACTTTACGCATTAGCCCAGCACATTTTCGAAATTTGTTTCCTATTTCGGGGTAATCGTACGATGTATGCAGCTTACATCATCCATTTTTTAACATAAATCTTGCTTGTATGTATCACTACTGGTACTTTGCAAGTTGAGGTTCGCGATTCTGCTGATTGGTTTGCAGAAAGTTCATGGGTGCCAATGCGTCGTTCTTGAAATTTTAAGTTAGTTTCTAGCTGTTGCTTGGTCGATGAGTGCGTTCTCAATGAACTCGCGATGGTCTCGCATGTTTTGACCACCGCTGACTATCATGAAGTCCGTCATGCGGCGCATATCATCCAGTGTCTCTATGTCGCGGTCGATGGAAATCATGTAGCAGAGCTGCAGTACGGAGAGTTCCCGATCCGGGGTCGAGTCTGGAAACCGCTTCGTGACAGCTTACCCTCGCATGTTGAACGCGAGTCCGCGTAGCAGCTTGTTTTTCACCTCTATCGGCACAGCGCGGGAGGTCCAGGCGATGACGTCACGGTCTTTTTTTTACATATCGTCGGATAGCTTGTTTGACGCGGACATCAGCCCGAGAGCTGTTGGAAACAATCTTCTTCTTAAAGTCGGCGATGAGCGTGAACGGCTCGTTGAGATCCGTATGCGATGAGCAAGGGTCAAATCATGGCAGACAACATTAGTACATTGTTTCGCCTGCTGCAAGTTGGTAAAATTTGAGTACCTTCTCGGTTTTTGTGTACAACCTGCCGTTGCCAAGGTGCTTCTCATCTCCTTTGAAGTGTCTCCAGGCTGCCTCCGAGTTTGAACGCACATCACATGGTAGTGTTTTGTACGTCGATAGCTCAAAGAAGTTGCCATCGACACCTTCTCGAACGTGCACGTCGACCGGCGCAACTGTCATTCCAGCCAATCCGTTCGCAATGAAAACGTCGTCAATTCTTGGGTATGAGGCTTCGAGGCGCGGGAAGAGCCCATTGAAGTCCGCCAAATCGCCACGCAGCTGCAATACATCTACAACTTGATGCTTTGAGCGAGTTAATGTCATTAACGACATACACTCAATTCTCTGCAAAGTGGAATAGACACACGACACAAGTCAATAAAATAGAACTCTCGAAAAGTACCGTTCCGTACCAGTTGTGTATCTCGCTTCTCCAAGTTACGAAACCTGTCCGCAACCTTGGTTTGACGCTCCAAAGCGAGTCGCAAAAGCACATTCGCTCGCTCTGCCTCCTCGCGTCGGCGTTTCTGCTGCTCTGCTAGTCCCTGCCGTATACTTATGATTTGCGAGGACTGTTTGACATCCACCCGTGCAATAGAACTCGGTCCATTCTTCCCCTTCCTTTCTTGAGACTGTCGGCTCTCCATTGGATCCCGTAGATAAGTAATCTCCCGCGAGCGTTCGTTTCGTGCGCGGTTGGCATCCCCACACACTCCGGCCTTGCGCAGAATCATTCTCCGCTCGTTGGGCTCCGCCTTCCGCCTTTGCCTCTCTTCCTCACGCTGATGTTTCTTGGTCGACGCTCTGCGGCGAGGGCGCTTGGCCTTTGGCACTTGGCTGGCGGCAGAGTCGGTCGAGGCACCGCCCTGACAGTCCATTACCCCAGGTACGAAGTTATCATGTCGGTGTTCACACCAGCGTCGCGATCGAAGTCTTGGTAGATGCGCTCCCACAGCAAGGTTGGGTCGGCTTTGAACACGATGTCTTCTTGGACAGGCACGGGACTGGTCGCGGGCGAGGAAACCTCAGTCGTCGACATGACGGAAGTTGTCGTTTGGCTGGATGTCGAGGTCGGTGTGAATGTAGGGTTTGGGCTCATAACCTGAGAAGTGGTGGGCGCGATGGAGCTCGGCGTCTCCATGGTGCTCACCAAGCTTGTGTTGTGTTCGTGCAGGTGGTGATGCCAGAGGAACACTACGTGGAGCATAATGCTCACCTGTATGGTGTGTGACCACAGGTCAGCAGCGTCTTATGTAGCCTAAAAGGTGGCATGCCAAGTTGGCCCTCCGAATAAAAGATTGTACTGCAAATATACGGAAATATTTGTACAGAATAATTTATTTTTCGCGATCAAGAAAAAAATGGAATAACTTACGGCTCGACTTTTTACAAAGTATTTTTCAGTCGTAAGAAGCATGTTTCGAATACCTTAAGTCCGTTTTTAACACGGGTCATCTATTGCAAAAATCGACGATCTTCGGAGGTCAACCAAAATTCGAAGATCAACAAATTTGCTTATACAGACACGAGACTCGAAGAGGGGTTACAGCACACAAATCTAAGCGTAGTGAGGGGTGTCCTGGTCCTGGCACCCGCGTTGTTGCTCAGTTATGGGTCACCGAAGTTAGAATTCTTGTTCAGGGGACAGCATAGTATGTCCATGCAACTTGACAACAGGCCCTTCCACAAAGTTTTTTCGAACGATTTCGCTTAGTTGCACTTGAGCATATGTTGACGATAACCTTAGACTGACCTCAGCGTAAGCCAACGTTACTAACCCTCAGGTCTGCAATAGCGATAACTTCTCAACTAGCGACGGCGCTGGGCGCTTAAACTCACTTTTTTGAACGCACACATGGCCACTGCCGCTGCTCACGAACGCGCGTAACGCAAAGAGCCACCTGCGAAGTAGCGTGCATGCCAAAGTCCATGACTTTGTCTGTCCAACATCGCACAATTCTGTATTTCCAGATATCCAGCCATACATCAGAAACGTAAGCAGCCTCTACGGGCGGAAGAAGATAGAGCTCACGCAGCCGGAAATTGAAATTTTCTTCTGTACGAGCGCTCACCACGCGAACAAAAGCTTGATAAAAGCTCTCGTGAGGCAAAGAGCCACACAAGCGGCCAGTGTCTGGGTCGACTTACCTGGGGAATGAGTGTCGGCGGGCATACGCTTGAACATCTTTCAAAATATGCCAGATGCACAATAGCACCGGCGAGTGAGGAAATCTAATCTCCAGCGCGTTGAGCAGAGCTAATTCTCTGTCTGCCAGAAAAACTTGCGGCGGTGGGACACCATTTGCCTCTTGTAGGTTTCGAAGTTGCTGTAGACCTCAGTGGTAGTCAGGCTCCGTTTCTCCGGAGATAAAAACTTGTGCGATGTGGATTCTTGTGTTCATACCGGTTACGCCGACAATGTTCAGGAGAGGAAAGTTGAAGCGGTTGGTCTTGTACGTGCAATCGAGCAGTACAACATCGTAGTTCACACGATAGATTTTAATGGCTTCCTCATTGGCAAAAAACAAGTGCGTCAATCTTCCATCCTCATCTTGCTTGTAGTCCATGTAGTACGGCCCAGTTGTCAGTTTCTCCAATAGGCAATCCATTCGTGAGAGACTTCCTACTGCGACAAGACTAGCTCTGTATCGCTCATTGTAGACGTCCCGAGGTGTATTATCAGGGAAGGGTCTTCAAATAGAAGTCGTGCAATAGTTTGGCGGGCAGTTGTCCCAGTCTGACTATCGATTTCAATTGCCAATCGAACAGCATCAGAGAGAGTAGCTCGGCGGCCGGGTGGGAGGAAGGAGCCTGATTGTGCTCTAGCGCTCGTCCACGATGCTGAAGCTCCCACGTAATCTCTCCGTCAGTACTCAGCTTTCGAACCAAGTACACTTCCATCTTGCAGTCACTTTAATGGGCCTACCTTGGCTCACTGCTACGGCTTACACGTATGCGCACGTGTATGAGGAAGCGTAGGTTTCTTTTATTTGAGTTAAGTATACTCGAGATCCACGAGTATTCTTTAAACAAGATAAAGGCTTCAAGTAGCGGGTTTTGGTAAAAGATGAGAACTGCTATCTTTGTTTTATGTTTCCGACTTCCTCTAAATGTAATATTCTAAACTAGGAATCTGCCAACGGCTGGTTGGCAGGATTCTGCTAACATGCAAGTCACTCATTGGCTAAAAGATGCTGCTTTCAGCCAATAGGAATCCTAAATGTGTATGGACCATGGTCGTAAATGTGTGTAGCCATTGGCTTACCTTACACCAAGGTCGAGGAAGTGTTCAAACCTCTAACAGACATCGCATCTGTTAGAGTAACAAGTGGCTGTAGCCACTTGTGCGTGTAACCCCGTTACAACCACACGTTCTGCTACAGTAAAGTGCCTCGATAAGGAACGGGCTACATTTTATACTCTGCAGGAAGTCATCATCCCCCTGTTGTACCCACTGTCTGTCTGATGTACTGTTTTAGGGAGCTAACGCCACACATCTTCCACCCATCCTCTCGCTTCTGAAAATTTCCGCCAATCCGAGCTCCGGAACCGAGCCTCGTGGCTAACTCAAAGGTCGCGGAGGAATCCTCCGCTACATCTTTTAGCTTGACGCTTGCCCGTTAACTATTTGGTTAGCCATGATGGCGGCCTGATCAATTCGGAGTCCACACAGGCATGCGAAAGAACATCGACTCGATGTCACATGATCTAGTGGTTTCCTCCCGTGTGCGTAGCAAGATATGTCGTGCTTTCACCACGCTCCAACCCATCACGTGCCGGTAAATCAGTACATAGGGGAATTTGATGTGACGAGACAAACCTTCAATCATGCATATACCTTCATCTTTCTATTCATATCAGGCGTTCCTTATCGAGACACTTTACTGTACTTGCGTTGCGACGTTGCTGCACCCTTGTTTCTACCAAAGAACGTCGGGGGACCCATGGCGATCGCAGCCATAGCGGATGAGCTGACGCTGTCGGAATTTATCGTAGGTCGTTCCTTTGTAAACCATTGCGTAACCGTGTTGGCACCCAAAGTCGTTCAATGCCTTCTGCGCCAACAGTGGCGACACAAAATGCTGCTCTTTAAGGCATGGTAAATACCAATGCTCGGGTTCAACCCTCGCAAAGTTAATTGAGCTCATGTTCCACTCGCTTGTATCAACGAAGCAAATATCAGCCGCTGGCCCAGCTACGGCGGATGCTCCGTAGCCGTAAAACGACTGAGCTGAACAAATGCGCTGCGACGGTAGGCGCAGTACCGTGGGCTGCTCGACGACTTGCTCTTCCGGATAAAGTAACTCACACGAAGCTCTATCCTCGATGCGAGACACTCGAAGTGGAGTTGCTGGTGAGACGTATCCACTGTAAAAAGCATGGGGAAGCCGCTGGCACAGAGCCCACTGAGCTGGTGGTGTTGCTCGTGGCGTGGCGGTAGAAACAGGATATGTAGCCATTTAAGGCGTTTGAACTAGGAGGCGGGCAGGCAGCAAGCGGTAAGCGGACGATTTACTGTTTGACTCGACAGACAGGCGATGGATGACTATGAAAGAGCTACAACTTTTGGGAATTGAAGTAGCTGCAACTTCTGGTAAATTCTGGTAGATGCATTCATTTTACATGCACGCCCGTGGCGGATAGCGGGCTCCCCGCTGTCGATATCATCTCCCACTTGAAAAGGCTAGAACTTGGTGAACAAGAGATTTAGCAGCATCTGTGCCGCAGCTAACAGCGCCGCGTCTTTTGGGCGATCACCCTTCACGATGATAGCAATGAGCAGCCGGCGTTCACCCACCATGCATCCTGCCCATGCCCTTTTCAGGGTCTCATCAACTTCAACTTACGCCAATTTCTAATGGTTAGAAAACCCTTTAGGCCATTTCAAACTGATAAAAATGGTCATTAATCGGTTTGATTCGATTCCAATAACAAACTGACCCATCCATAGAACTGGCACTGCCGATAGCAACGGGGTATCATAATCAAGACCACATGCAGGCATGCATACGGTTATGGTAGTTAAAATGTCAACTTATGAGGTTTCCCAAAAATAAAATATTGAATGTGCATGTAAAAATACCGTATTGATGAATCCGTCCGTTTGATGTACAGGCGTCCCCGGCCTATTCGCCACAGTGGTACTTATGATGTTTGCGAATCAACCAGATTCACGCGGTCTGAACAAAAATGAGTATGTACTGACTTACTACAAGCTGAGCTCAAGAATACGGTAGAGGTATTCCCGCAACGTGCCACTTGTCGCAGTAGGTCTCGCTGTACACTCATCTTAATCAATATGTTTGCAGAAGTAGCGCGCAAATCTTGAGAGCTTGTTGTACTTCCTGTGCGAGGTACATTAAAATATACAGCCGGGACTAGCCCGGGGACGCCTGTATGGCATACCAATCATACTGATTAGTAATCAGTGATTACATTACGACTGATCATCTTGACAGGATGAACTGGCACTGATTAAAGCAACATTGAAATGTTGGCGTTGCGTAACATTGAGCGCAACAATGGTGCTTCTGCCTAACATTGTTACGGTATCTCTCGTAGCAGAATATTTGGTTTACAAACGTAACAATAGTGGACACGCGTCGCCACGACAGCTCGACAGCACGACAGCACGACAGCGAAGCACGCTGTATGCGCATTACCACCCGGGGCGGCGCCCAACAGCTCCCGCCGCTAATGCGGCAAGCGCGTCATGGTGTACGCGCCGACACATGCAGCAGGAGAATGGGCTCTACGGGATCTACGCGCAGCTCTACCTGGGCGCCACGTGTTGTCTATTCCTAGTTGGCAGGACACTCTGACGTTGGCTTTCGCCTGCGGACTAAGCGACGGCACTTCGGGGGGCGCCGCTGTGCGTCCTGCCCCACCCCCTCGTGCCTTACGCTAAGTCCTCGGCTCGGCCAGGCGCGGTGTCTAGAAAAAAAAATATCGGGTTGCAGCGCTCGCCTTCGCTCACTCGCGCAGACCCGCTCCCGCCTGATCGGCTGGTATTGACGATCGGTGAACGCGCTCAGCGAGGCTCGCGCACGCGTTCGCTCGCCCTCCCCCTTTAACCTAACTGCGCGGTTGGCTAGAGGCGCATTAAAAGCGCTTACGACTGCTTAGAAGGTAGCGCATTCGATTGCATGCAACACGCATCGCACCTAACGCAACGCAACGCACTGGGAAGGCGTTTGCTCCCGCATACGTAGTACACACATGCATATAAGCACCGCAGTAGGACATGCACACATTAGAATAAGGTTGAGCGGGTGACCACTGCAGACGGTCGCACGACGCGGAGGCGGAGCGAGCGCGCGGGCGCTAGCTTCCTACCCGGTAGATTCTGAAATGAGAGCTGTCGTGAGCCAGTCGCTCCAAACATGAAATTTCACGCCTGGAAAATTTGCATTGCGTCAATGTTAGCGATCTCGCAACGTTGGACCCCATCAATGTTATTGATGAGAAAATGCCATAAACACCTGTTGGAACTCAGCCCAACACTGCAAAAGCTCTACTAGCACCGAAAGGAGAGACAGGCTAGCCGATCTGTAGCCACGTTATAGGTTGCAGACCCTCGTGTATCCACCTTGGCCTCGAATGTACCAAATATGCGGTACATCCCGTTGTGTGGTCCAGTGCTCATTCCAGAATCAAGTGCTGCGAAGCTGTAGTGACAACCACGGCCAGCGAGTGATTGCCTCGCCTTCCACCGCCAAGACCAAGAAGCCGGGCATCCTGTTGCTGATGTGACACCTGCCCGACACCAATCTGCAAGACAGCGTCGGGCACGAGGAGCGGAGCTCCACGCACCGACCCGTAGGGGCTGCTTGCCACTGGGAGGAGCTGCTCGCCACTGGGAGGAGCTGCTCGCCACTGGGCGCAGAGGAGCTGCTCGCCACTGGGCGCAGAGGAGCTGCTCGCCACTGGGCGCAGAGGAGCTGCTCGCCGCTGACCCGAAGGAGCTGAGCGTAGCGGAGGAGCCAAGCGCGATGAAGGCGCCAAGTCCCACGAAGACGTCGCCGGACGAAGGAACCTCGCGCGAAGGGGCTGCTCGTTACCGGGTTGGACGAGCTACACGCCACCTGCTTGGAGGGGCTCCCCTCCCCACATCATTCGACAGTCGTAAAACAGCAGAGAACTACGGAGTGGTCGCGCGCTACGGGGATACGGCTTGGCGTCAACAAGGAGGAGGTGGCGAGCGGCTGCAACTATGTGAGCACTGATTAACGACCAGGTATGAATTAAATTTATTCTGTGACTGACTAATTCTTCTGGTCTACATTGTTGACACTCACTCGATTGATAGCGCTTGCCAGTTGTGTCGAGGCCGTCCAGCAGCGTGACTAGCAGCTTCATCAGCAGCCGCAGCGCGCTTGCGCTTGTTGGTTCCGCGGTAGAACAGAGTCTGACGTCCCTTTACATCAAGGCTTCCAACCGCATTTAGGCAGTACAGGAGATGGATGCAGGCCCCGTGCTTCATGAACAAACGACAAGGGCACGTGCGCGCGGCAACATTGACTTCCCAACCGCATGTTGGCATTCGGCGGTGCTCCATCTTCGCAGTCTCGACGTTTAGCTGAGCAGACGCAGGAAGGTCTTCTTTCGAGCGGCGGTCCAGGACATCAAAGATGCGGGTGCAGGGGATCGAGACCACGTTCATGCTGTCGCTCTGCTGCTCGGAGGGTGCATCGCTCAGCAGGAAGGCAATGCTGGTGCGCTCGTACTGCTGCTCGTAGAGTAGCCCCTGGCGGGTCATTGCTCGAGCGCGGCGAGACAGACGCTCCGAAAAGGTTGTTGACGCAGCGAATTGGCGCGCGCGCACACTTTCACTTGTACACAGCACCATCAGCTGCTCCACCAGCGCCCCAACCTTCAGCTTCCGACGCAATGTGACGTCGCGCTTGATGGCGGCATTGACGACTCACAGGAGTTGGTGGTGGTGGCAAAGCCGTTCGGCGTGTGAAAGCATTGCCACCTCCACACCCTTACGTTCAGCCACGTCTTCTCAAAGTAGGCCTTGAACCGACTCAGTTGAGTCCACTTCGACCACTCCTCCTTTATTTTCTTGAGCATTTTGTTGTACTCGTCCTCGCTCCTCGTGAAGTGCAACTCGGTATTCTCTGAACATGGTCATGTTTGGTGGCACCAACGTTCCGCAGCTTCAGGGATCGGGCGGCCGCGTTCGCACCGGGCGGCGTAAAAGCTGTCAACAGCAGCAGGCGAAAACCACACCGAAATCCCCAGTGCCTTGGCGATATGCTGCAGAGTATGGAACGCGCACCTCCCGTCAGGCGAGCCGCCAATAGCGAGCGCGAAGGTGTCAGTTCGAGTGGTCACATACTCTGCAAATGTCATCGGCCCCGCCAGCATTTTGAAGTCATCAACAAGGTCCAAGTACTCCCCGAAGTCGTCCTCTTCAAGAAGCCATCGTGTAATGGGCCTACTTTGGCTCACTACTTTAGCTTACACGTGTGTGCGTGTATGTGAGGAAGCGTAGCTTAGTTTAAATTAGAGTTAATTATACTCGGGCCTCCGAGTATAGATTAATCTAAATAAACGATCCAAATAATGTTTTTGGGTTAAAATGAGAACTGCTATTTTTGTTTTATGTTTCTGACTTCCTCTAAATGTAATATTCTAAACTGGGAATCTGCCAACGGCTGGTTGGCAGAATTCCAATGCTATGCATGTCGCTCATTGGCTGAGAGCAGCATGTTTGGTGTGTCTACACCAAGGTCGAGAAAGTATTTCGAACCTCTATCAGACGTCGTGTCTGTTAGAGTTACATGTACTTTTGCGTGTAACCCTGTTACACATCGGGGCTCCCACGATCCTTCCAGCTTCCCAGGGTCGACGACATATTCAACCCAGTAGCGCGTGTTGCGCGTGACATGAGAGCCTTGCCGGTCGGAGATCAGCCAAACCTGCCACGTCTCCGTGGTGACGCGAGAAGCCGGCGCTGTTTTTCGCTGAGCACGCGAGACGATCGAGGCACGCCGAGGTCCAGCAGACCATGACGCCGACTGCCGTGTACGCACCATACTTCCCCAGACCCTCGGTAAAGCGAGTCGCGGTGCAGGTGGAGCAGACGAGTGCACGGTAGGTCGATAAAATCGTTATGAACTTGCAGCAGCGCCAAGGGCACCGAATGCAACAGACCAGGACGACGAGCACAGGAATAACGAGCGATGACGATGTTGAAGCAACGTCCCAGCACCGTGACAAGATTTGAGGTCCCCATCTATTTTGGGAAGGGGTGAGTGTAAGGAATATGACAGCTGTACCAGTTTAGAGGTACATCATGTTAGAAAGGATATTAATCAATACAGGGGCTCCCGCAGCCACGTGTTGGGCTTCAGGGCAGTTGGTCGGGGAATGACCAGCACACTTCGCAATCTCCCCGCCAGTCCCAAGCACCTCCTCCTGCTCCTCCGCCTACCGCAAGGGCGAGATTGTTATATGAGGTAACCTACGCAACGGAAGGCTCACATTAGCTAACACGACGTTCTAACTCAATTCTATTCTATTAGCATGTTCTAGCACAAAACTACGCCGTAGTCGCGTATTACGATTTGCCAGTCGTACCCGACGTGTCTAGAATGGCGATAAATCCTGGAGGAACCTCTTGAAGTTATCGTCGTTGAAGTCGCTTGGAACACCCTCTGGGCGTTTGTCCGCGAAGCCAACCGGGTTGCTCGCGTGGCTGGCGAACCCGAGATCTGCGAGGACGCCCTTGCTGTAAACCAGCGCCAACACAAGGTCACCGGGGTCGGTACCTGTATTGGGCTTGATCATCTGCTGCTGGCCCCGGGGGTGTACTTGTGTGCTGGCTATCTCCCGTTTCCGCGGCGTGGGGCGCGTGCCTTCATGATGGAGGTGACGTCCGTGGGTCGCTTCGCTTCGGATGATGCTGGTGTCCGCGTGCCACTGCTTGAATATGCGGTACCTTGGCTGGCCGGCTTACAGTTTGTGCGCCGAGTTGTCCACCACCACGCGTAGTAGCTTGGCTGGGATCCACAACATTACATAAATTCCGATAATAGCCACGTACATTTACCTTGAACTTGGTATACCTTGAACTCGAATCTTGAACTTTGTATGCTTGAAATATACCTTGAACTTTTATCTTTACCTTTGTATGCTGGGGCCGAGTATCTTGAGATTTGTGTACCTTGAGCTTTTTACCTTGACTTTTCGCGCTCGGCCGTGTATCTTGATCTCGTGTACTGAAAGTTGGTGAGCGCGGCGAGTCTACGAACTTGTCCGTCGCCGTTTACGCGACCGCCTTGGCCGATTCGCTTCAAACTCCTGGATAAGTCCTGCGACTTGATGCAGGTTCTCGAGCGGCTCCCATGTTGCCTGCTCTTCACCCACCCACCGAATGAGGTACTGTATCCCTCCCTTGCGTTGACGCTTGTCGACGACTGCTTCCACAATTTGACCAACCCTGCCATCGTGTAGGATCACTTCCTGGGGACGAGAGAGTGTGGGCTGTGTCCAAGTGCTTCGTGCTCAAGTAAACTTAATCGCCGACCTTGAACACTTGTTCAGTTCTTCCGCGGTCGTACTCGTCAGCCATCCGCGATTGAGCATCTTATAAGGCTTCTTGACATCGAAGAACTGCTTCTTGTCGATCAGTGAACTGGACACCTTGACGTCGACCTCCTCGCAGGCCGCGTCGACTTGTTGCTGCGACAGCTGCGAGAGGGTTGCGAGGAACATATCCTATGTCAGCTTCAAATGGTGACATCTTGATGCTGGAGTTGACCGCGGAGTTGATGGCAAACTCAGCGTTCGCGAGATGGACATCCCAATCGTCTTGACGCGGAGACACGAAGCAGCGCAGGTACTCTTCGAGTGTGCGGTTGGTGCGCTCGGTCTGCCCGTCGCCTTGCGCACGGTACGCAACAGTCATCTTCAGCTTGGTCCCAACGTTCTCGAACCCTTGACTCCAAAACCCAGAGACAAACTTCGTGTCGAGATCTGACACGATGTCTTGAGGCATGCCGTGTAACTTCCAAATGTTGTCGATGAACAGCGTCGCGACCTGTTGAGCTGCAACTTTCTTCGTCGTCGCAATGAAGTGTGCTCGCTTCGTGAGACGGTCAACAACCACCCAAATTGAGTTATGTCCTCGCTTGGTTTCCGGTAGGTCTGTGATGAAGTCCATCGAAATCGATCGTCATCTTTCGTCCGGAATTTGTAATGGTTCCAGAAGCCCAGGTGGCTTCGTTAACCGCGGTTTGTTGCGCCGACAATCCTCACAGTCTGCAATGTACTTCTTGATCGTCCGTGCCATGCGTGACCGATACCAATCCGAGCGAAGTTTCAGGTATGTGCGATCTGCGCCGGGATGCTCACCGTAATTGGTATCGTGTACTTCAGCGATGATGCGATGTTTGAGTGCCACAATGTTCGGGACCACGATACGAGGTTGCTCGTCTGTAGAGCTTTGATACCATATCAGATTCTTCTCCTCGAAGTACGGCTTGTACTGCTTCTCCGATATCCCTCGTGTTACCGACGTTGTCCCACGTCATTTGATCGCGCGCAGAATATCATCGATGATCTTATCCTTTGCGTAACCAGCGCATATTGTTTTGATCAGATCGTTGCTAGGCTTGATCTCCGTAACACGCAACTGGTAGCTGGTCTCGTTGAAGCCGGGGACGAGCAAATCGTGGAAATCCTTCGTCTCAGGTTTGAGGTCAGGGCGTCGGCTCAAAGCGTCAGCGATTCCGTTCTAAGCACCCGGTAGGTAAGCAAACACGGGTTGGTAGTCGGCCAGAATATCGTACCAACGCGCAAGGCGTCGGTTCGCCATCTTCTGCTGGAAAATACCTTCAAGTGACTTGTGATCCGTCTCTACCATGACCGGTCGATCCAAACAGTAAATCCGAAACGCAGCTAATGCATTGACAATCGCGAGTAGCTCCTGCTGTTGCGTTGGGTACTTGAGCTCGGCTGAGTTCATCTTCCTGTTCGTGTACGCGATCGAGCGCTCGACTTCAATGACTTGAAAGAGCACGCCGCCAACAGCATACTGACTTGCGTCCGTTCGCAGATGCATCTGCTGTGTGAAATCAGGTAAGTGCAGAACCGGAGCGTCAGACAACCGGCGTTTCAACTCCTTGAAATTCTGCAGCTGCACCGCGTTGAGAGTGATCTTCGAATTTCGATGATTCTTCTTCTTCAACAACGCGAATAGTGGAGCCGTAAGCTCGGTGTACCGCTCACAAAACCGCTGTACGTATCCCGTCAAACCAAGGAAACTGTGAAGCTGCTCTTGGGTTCGTGGTACAGGCCAGTCATGGATAGTCTGCACTTTGTCAGGATCAATACGAACTCCATTCCGACCGACAAAATCACCCAGACATGGAATCTGTTCAGCGCAGAAAACACACTTGGAGAGCTTCACGTACAGCTTGTTCTTCTTCAAAATCTCCAGCACGTCGCGAAGGGCTCGCAGGTGCTCGTTGATGTCCTTCGACATCGCGAACACGTAGATATCATCGTAAAATGAATGTGTGTGTGGGAGACATTTGAACAATGAGGAAGTCAATCGATGCATCGTTGCTGGTGCGTTGCTAACTCCCATTGGTAACACCAGATACTCGTACAAGCCACTTGATGCTTGGAATGCTGTGTACTTGACGTGATCCATCTTCATCCGCACTTGGTAGCATGCACGAGAAGTAGTAAGCACCTGCCATACTGTCGAAAACATCCTCCTTACGCGTCATCGGTACGCTCTGTCGGATCGTGTTGTTGTTAAAATACCGGTAGTCGTGCACGATGCACCATCCCACAGCCTTACGAACGCAGAATGTCGGAGCTGCATGGGGCTAATACTCGGCTGAATCAATCCCTTAGCGATCATTTCCCGCACCCACTTGTCGATCTCGGCCTTCTGCTCGGGTGAGAGTCTCCACTGCTGTCGGTACATTGCGATGTTAGGGTCCTTCACGTCGATACGGTGTTCAATATCACGCTCCATCGGCAATCCGTCCGGCAGCTCGGGTGTAAACACACTATCCTTGTACCCGAGGATGACCCGGTACGCCGGATTATTCTTGAACGACTCCCAATCGGTCTGTAGGAATCGCTTTGCCTTCTCCGTCCCTACGTTGTCAGGTTCGTCACTCCGTCTGATGTCACACTGAATCTCCTTGATCGTGTCGTTTGTCAGCACAATCATGAAATCGTGTTCAAGCTGGTCCTTGGCAGGTAGCCGTAGGAACTTTCGCAGCTTCTTCCGTGTGATGTACTTCGTTTGGACTCCTTCCGAGTCGACTACTCCAAGAGTAAACATTGCCCAACCTTGGCATTCTTCTTCTCTCGCTTAGAGAATTTCTCCACGTCCTCGAATGGTCTTTCGACGTCTTCCACTTCGCCCTCCAACCGTGTTTCTGGCACGGCGGCTCGACAGAAATCACGGCTTATCGCGAAGGAGCTTTCGCTGTCCACAGCATCGTGAAGCCTAGAGCCATTAATCGGACTGCACTTCCCACGGGGAGTCGAAGCTTCTGTCGTTGAGGTTCCACCCGAGACGTCTGTCTTGAAGCATCGACGTTTCCAGCCGATCTCCGGTTGTACATCCACAAAAAATGGCATCCCAAGAACACAATCAAACTCGTCCGGAATGTCGAATACAACAGCGACACACTGGTACTTGGGGGTGCCTTCGAGGCAAACGGTGATCTTCGCTAACTCCAGGACTGTCTCCCCAATGTTGTTGTCTCCCAGTTTCACTTTGATCGTTCGGTCAGTGTACACGTGCGTCTTCAACCCATGCTGCTTTGCAAAAGCTCGTGACACATAAACCGTGGTAGCGCCACAGTCCAGCAAAAACTTGGTACCAATCTTGTTCTCTCGCTGCTCCATGTTCCCTTCGACAGCGAACAATGGTGCGCGATTGTACACGAGAGGGTCTTCGCAAAGTAGATTCAACGTAGCTTCGTTTACGGTTAAACCTTCTTCGCTAGCGCTCACCACGTCAGGTCCCTCTTCTTCTGGCGTGGCTGGTCGTTTCCCTGGTCGTTCTTCAGCTTGCTACAGTCGCGCTTGAAGTGTCCAGGCTTGTTGCAGTGGTAACACACAGGACCATCCTTGGTTTGCTCTGCAGGCGCGTAGTGACCAGGCTTATACGAACGCTTGTTGAACGGCTTCTTGTTTCGGAACGTGTTCGAGCTCGGCGGTCCACGGGACCGTTGCTCGCGCTCTGGTTTCTCGCGATCCAGTCTGCGATCGCTACCGAAGTGGGACATCTCGTACTTGGTGGCTTGGTCCATGTCCTCGCTCAACGTTGTTGCGTTCTGTAGCTTGACGTATGCCTGCGTGGCGCGCTTGAGGCCGTCACAGTAGTAGCTGACTTGGTCCACTTCGCTCATGTTCTCAACGCGGAAGATCAGTGAAGAATACTTCCCATTATACTCCTCAATATCACCGGTCTGGCGGAGTTGACGAAGCTTCTGCCGGAGCACCGCTTGGCAGTTCTGTGGTGTAGTACCCCGCGGAAGAAGTGGGCGCGCCGGGCGCCGGAGGAAGAAGGCGCCGGGACGCGAGTGATGGACTTCGACGCGGCTGATGGAACGCGACGCGGATTGATGGGCGCGACGCAGGGCCGAGCTCGACGGGAAAGTCGTCGTGGGTGATGGGCCGTGAGACACGGTGCCAGAATCCAGTGCGACGCATAATCATCCGACGGGTCGACCAACGCACCCGGTTCTGCAAAACGCGCCGACCCTAACCCCGCCGAGCAAAACGCGCCGACCCTAACCCCCGCCGACCAAAACGCGTCGAGGTAAGATCTTGATTGCACCACGCAAACCAGGTTGAAGGACGGCAGTGCAAGCACGACAGAAGTAGGGATAGGCCCAGAGCGGTAGGCTTAGCAAGCAGTAGTACAGAGTAGCCAGTAGCAAGGACATAGGATAGGGTAAGGACTCAGTCCCGAAATTTCTCTGAACCACAAAGACCTCCCGTCTTCTCCGAGGTTCCAGGGGAACCACCAAGTGCCGGCAAGTAGAGCCGCCTCGATATCGCGGCCCCCCGTCGTTTGCTGGTTCGGGTGCTCACCCCCCACAGACCCGTGCTGGAACAAAGGCACGTTAAACGTATACCGTTGAGGTGGGCGCCCGATAACGCGCTGCCTAGGCGAAGGACCGCACTGGCCTGATAACCGCCGTGCACAAGACCCCCCGTGTAGGCCCGATAACGCCACACAAGCCCCAGGAAACGCCGGCCTGATAACGCCGCGCGCCCGACGGGAACGCCGAGGAAACGCCGGCCCGATAACGCCGCACGCCCAAGGCCCGACGCCCTAAGACAAGGAACAAGCGTCAACACAAGAACCCCCCCCCCCCCCCCCACTCTGAAGCCTGCGAAGACTTGGGCCTGTATTTCGAAGATGCGCTACTCCAACAACCGGGAATAATTCGCTCGGCGCGACCGCTATCCAGACGCGCCGAGTTTGTGCGAGATCGCATTCGCGAGATTTCTGCGAGGGCGCTACTCCACAGTTCGATGCTTCAAAGTGCGAGAGAGCGTCGCGGGTAAACTGTCCCCACGTCTGCTCCTCTGCTGGGGTCCGAGAGGCCCAGAACAGGAACCATCCCGATGCGGGTTCCTCCATCGCGGTACCAGCGATTGCCGGCAGCGTGTCGTTGTCGTCCGTCGCGTCATGACCGTTGATGCGGTACAGCGTCTCAACTTGGAAGAGCCACTGACGTACGTCCTCGTCGCGCTTCCCCTTGAACTTGGGCAGGCCGTTTGGGACTCGAGGCTTCGACTCCGTTGGCGGTGGGCGCGGCGCTTGGTTCTTGGCTTGCAGAGCCACAATCTCGGCACGCAGCTGCGCGACCTGTGCTTCCAGCTCCGCTTGTCTCTCTCCATCCGCGGCTGGCGCGTCGTGGTCGTTCTTGCGCGTCGCAGGGGCCATGGTCGTCGAGACTAGACCAACAAGTGCTACCAGTATAACAATCTGGCCCTTGCGGTAGGCGGAGGAGGAGGAGGAGGTGCTTGGGGCTGGCGGGGAGATTGCGAAGTGTGCTGGTCATTCCCCGACCAACTAACACGTGGCTGCGGGAGCCCCTGTATTGATTAATATCCTTTCTAACATGATGTACCGCTAAACTGGTACAGCTGTCATATTCCTTACACCTCAGGTCTCGCTACTTGCGTATTGCACACATCGGCCTGGGGGTCGCAACGAATGCATTAGCTCGAACGTGCAAATAACTCGTTCAATACATCCACTCAACAGAGATTTTTTGTTTTGTTTGCTATGTCTAAGGAGTAAGTAGCGAGAAGGCAAGAAGTCAGTTCTCCAACCTTGACTCTGAATACGATTTTTTAATAATCTCCACGACTGGCATTTCATAGCACACCTGATCCGCTGGCGTTGGTTAATGAGGCTGAAATTCATGGTCACATACATGTTTTCCAACTCCAATGACTACTCAATAGTAATCACTTCCGATTCCATGGGGCGAGACCGCTTCGTCCCTCTCACTCCTTGTGCCTTACGAATGTTGGCGTTATTTGCGTTTTCATCAAGTGGGAGAAGCTGACCAAGCCGCTGGATCTCGGCCATATACGCTGGGACCATCTCCCGGCGCGTATCAAACTTCCCGCCTGTCTTCTTGATTTGAACGAGCACGTTCTGGCCTTGACGCTCTGCTGTAATCGACAACGGTGCCTGGATTTTCTGGTGAAGCACAGCCGTGAGCAGACGCGCTTCCGACATGCTATTAAGGTTGGGGATCACTAGCGACGGAGCTGGCGATCGAAGAAAAATCAAAACTTCCGCTGAATGGTGGAAGTTCGTGTCGGTCAGCTTCCACATAAACGGCTTTTCGCAGTCGAGAATCTCGTTAATTAGCCATTGACGACGTGCCCACGCAGCTGAAGCCAGTATGGCCCGATGCTCCGGTAAGCTGGACGCATCGACACACTTGGAGAGCTCGATGACAACAGAGCCCAGGTGTTTTGGACTTGTTTGGGTGATCAGATTCTTGACACTGAGGAAGGTCGTCATGCTACCGGACTCCAGCGCATTTTTCCAAAGCAAACCAGTGCTGGCTGAAAATGCAAGGGCAGCTGGTCGGGCTCGGCAGAGTAATTGGGCTTTACCCACCGCAAAAAGTGTAAGCTCTGCCCGCGCGGTAGGACTATCGCTCAGCGATTCTGCTAGCACCAGCGCTCGGTTCAGCGAGGTTTCAATCAACGGGCAGTCGATAGCCGCAATGATAGAAGTATCCACGTTTTGCCACCCAAAGTCTCGCACCAGCAGTCGTAGTGCAGGAAGAAAGTCGGTCTTCTCCGCGTCGCTCAGGAAATCGAAATACTTCTTGAAAAACAACTTGACCAGCTTCACGTCGCCCAGTTTAATCATCGCTGGAACCAGGGTTTGGCAAAATTCAAGCAGCTGAATGGGTGTCTTTGACGACTGCACAGCAAGAGCAAAATCATAGATTCCAAGCACGTCATTTTTCAGGAGCATCCGCACTGTTGAATAGCTGAGGGTACCGCAGTCGAGATCGCAGCAGCGACGCCTATGAGAGCAACTTTGTTGACGATGTCGGCTGAGTTGGGCCACATGACAATCACGAATCGCTCACATTTTGACATAATCGACTTTCCGGTGATTTCCCACAACTGGGCCAACGACTTGTTATCAGGATTCAGAAAGTTGAATTGGTTCCATTGAGCCGTAATTGTGCCATTACCCACCACATTTCCAGTCGCCGAACTCCAAACTATAACTTCCTTCGTGCACTTGTGCATTCGCTCTGTGAAATTGGAATGGACGAAATAGAACTGCAACTGCTTCCCTGGTGGCAGAAGGGAATTTGCATCTCTCAAGAACTGGAAGCGATCTCGATCAACACCCGAAAGAGCCTCCCAGCCACCATTCAACAACACCGTTGTGTTATATGGCTGCGATAGTACAAAGGCCAATATTCCATCATCATCCTCCTCCGTTTCGGAAGCGCCACGATCTGCATTGTCAGGAACCGGTTCGTCTTCAATCGCCCCAACATCATCTGGACCAGCTTTCAGCTGCTTCACTGCAACCGCCAGTTTGCCCAAATGCAACAACTTCGATCGTTTCCCATAATCAAGAGGAACTTGTGGAGGCAACAGTAATTGATACTCCATCGCAAGTCGATATCCAGTCGTCACCTTGTCCGCATAGCAACTCGCGCCAGCCGCATACACGACGTAGTGCGGTCGAAACGCAGCAGCGGCGATCTCACGCCCGTATCGAACCTCTTTGTCCGTCCCAGCTCGAGACACCAGCAAGTCCCCTCCAGTGTATGCAGATGGTGGCTGTACCACAAGTGTAGCCACGCAGCGACCAGTCATCGCCCTTGGCTGTCTTTCCACACCGCCTCCAGGTCCACACACCAGCACCCTCGTCAGCCTTGGCTGCAGTGCAATGTCCTTGAACCCAAGCTTCTCTGCACCGAAGGCGCACAGCATCTCGATGCCTCGTTCCCACTCTGGGTTCTTCATCGTCACTCGGGAGGCAGGGATCACCCACGACTGGGGATGTTCTTCGCTGGCCTGGGGCTTAAGCTTCTCCACCATTTCTTCACGCAACGGGAGCGACACAGTCCCGATGTTCGAGACGTGCAAGCCTGGTAGAATCGGCAGGAGGTAGGCGGGGCCCCCGAAGCAGCCTTCGTCGTGGTGCACTTGTCCTAAGAGATCGCTGATCTCCTGGGCGACTTTGCTTCTTGGGGCGGGCACGTCGCCCGGCTCTCCCTTCATGTTGAAGGGCCACGACGACTCGACGCTGGACGGGGGGCTGGAGATGCCGCCACCGCTGAACATGTCGGTGCTGGGGCGATGACTCCGAGCTGTACGAAGCAAGAAGCTCACCAAGGTGGATTCGGAAATGACGCACTTCAACTGTGGCGAATATTGTGTGCAGACCAATCAAAAAGCTGCGCGCGTCTCATATTTTCTTACGGAGTGACACATCACAGCGAACACCCAGAGTTTGTATACAAAAGTGCAAGAGTTCGCGGAAGTGCAACAATTCTTAAACAATTCTTAAGTCTTGACAGGGGAGACGGCGTGTCTGTGGTTGTTCCTAGGAGACCAAGCAATTCATCGCCAGCATGGGAGAAATCTGCTAGCTGGGACGAACTTATATTGGCGAGATTCAACGAAGCCCGTCGATGATTGAGTGGCGACCACAAAAACAGAAGCACGAGTGTTACCAAAGGAACGGTAAAAGCCAAACAGTTAGTAGCATTCGTTAGGAATTATTATCATTGCGTGCGGCTAGAACTTTTTCTTTGTGAAATTTTTTTTTGTGAAATGAGTCACCAGCAGAACAAAACAAAATGTGCCGTGTGTTAATGGCTTATGATTGGCGGAGATTTTATCTTCGGCGACCTCTGATTGGTCGGTCACATCGAAGTGGGTGCATATGGTTGAAGTACCTTCATTCTTCTTTTGGCTCGACGCAGAACCATGGATTTCTTCCTAGGCAATTCGCGCTTCGGCATGTACTCGACGCCCAACATGCGATTCGGCCACCCGCCGCTGCTCCCTGCTGTCCGGAATTACGTGCGCACTCCTCTCCCTGCTCTGCCTCTGCCCCCTCGTCCACGAGTCAGTCGCTGGCCGTTCCAGTCAGTCGGGGGGCCTGACCATGTGTTGGAGACCAAGGGCGCTGTCTGCAAGGAGATCAGCAATTTACTTGCCAGGGTAGGGAGGGACGCGGGAGAATATTCCTTCGGAGACTCTGCCCCCATGCTACCGAGTCTACCTGGGATGACGATCAAGAATGTTGGTCTCGTGTCACTTCCACTTCGAAAAGAAAATGTGGCTTCACTGCAAAGCGAAGCGAGGGAAATAAAGAATAAGTTGTGGATGTTGGGCCCGAGTCAAGTGGAGATGCGGAACCCGGAGTGGAACAAAGCTATCGAGAAGCTGAGCAAGTTGACTGCAGAGAGATTGGGGTTTACTGAGGATATCAAATTGCACCCCGAGTTGGTCATGGTGGTGCTGTATGGAGGAGGCAGATTGGACGTACAGCAGGCGGTAGACCGCAGTGGCCGCAGTGTGGCGGCGCTGGAGGTCGTGTTGCCGTCGGTGTATAGTGGAGGTGCCTTGGTGGTGGAGGAGGAAGGACCGGGCCAACCGTCTCGCTACTTGCTGGGGACAGATGATGGCACAGCTGAATTTGAGCCGCACTTTGCAGTCTACGCGACGGGTGCATACCGAGCTGTGGAGGAAGTGACGAGTGGGTATCGCTTGGGGATGGTGTATGCGCTGTGCTTGCCTCCGGATATGCAGGGAAGTGGCGGGAAACGACCGAACGATTTCCTGCCGATGCAACTTGCGGAGGCTATGAAGAAGTTGAGTGCAAACGAAGTCGCGGTAAAGCGTGAAGGTGGAACGACCACAGCTGATACTGCCTCCGACTACTCAATATTTGCGCTGATGATTTCCAACCTACCGGATCGCGGTTACAGAGGTGTCGACTCTCTTGTCGGTGTGGACAAGGACCGCTCTCAGCTGCTGAGTGCTGCTAATTTGCTAATACCACCGGAGCAAAAGCTACAATTTTATATCGTGCGTCTTCAGCTCAAGTGTTGCGGAGGATACAACAAACAGAGGAAAGAGGAAAGGATGTCGTGGTAGTCTCTCGCGGGAGATACTCTGAAAAACGGCGTATCCGTTGAATGGTCAAAGAAGCTCAATTTCCTGAATCCGGGCAAGGAAACTGAAGCAGCTGTGGGCAACGGAAAACAGCAACAGTTTCCATGAACTGGAAAGGTTTTGTATCGTTGGATGGCCAAAGACCAATGATTTCAGGAACGTGGTGACATGGATCGGCGAATCTGCTATTGCAGCTTTCGTTCTTGCGGATGGCCCCGTTGACGGGGACAGGCTTCGCAGTCTTTTTCGTTTCGAAGCGGAGCAGCACCACTTAAAAAAGGTGGAAGTTCTCAATCCATACCTACAACAGCTTGCCAAGTGTGTTTCCGAGTTAGGCGATCCGACTCTCGCTGATGATTTTTTTAAGTTGTATTTTCCGCGACTGCAAAAGACTCGTCAGACGATTCCAGTTGTTGCTTTGCTCCTGCGGAATGCCGGATGGGAAGCCGTCACGGCTTCTGTCATATCTGCCGTTGATCAGCTGGACAACCCAATGGGTATGGCGTTGAGGTTATCGGAGGCGGTGAAGGGCTTACCTGCTCGAGCAGTTCTTCTTTCGTTTGCAATTGAGAAGGCTCGAGCTACAATGAGAAGGCAACCAGTACCTCCGTCATTCATTGTTGATTTTCCTTTGCTCTGGAGGGCAGTAACGGAATGCAACAACTCGCACATCTTTCGCAGCCTGGTGGCTGCGATCTCAAAGTTGAACGCCGATATGTTGGGGGTATACACAGAATCACTACTCGTTTGCGCCCAACTATCTCGTTTTCCAGAGCATCGTCAAGCGCTGGTTGCAATCGCTTCTCGCCGTCTTGACTGGTTAGCTGGGCTGGCTACACCGGAGTGGAAAATCTCGCAAGTCACATTTCCTGACGCTAGAGAGATATCGTCTTTTCTGCAAGGACCGCTAACTACCTTGGTTATTCGCGGATTCGATACCCTTGCAGCTGCGCGCGTTCGGGTGGCATTGCTCCAGAAAAACATTACGGGGTCTCTGACTATTTCCGCTAGGGCCCGCGGGAATTTCGCCATCGTGCAACTTGTGAAGTTTGCTGTCGTGCACACGGAGGAAATTGCTCGGTTACAGCTTTTATTGCGTAAATGTGGTCGAACGGGGACTGAGAACATCGACAGCAGCAACATCACGATTGGGCAAAAGCGATCAAGGGAGGGTTTCACAAGCAGTGCATAAGAGTGTCCAAGTAAGCTGTATTTGTATTGCGACTTTTGCTGTGGCGGCTAAAGTAATGATAGCAAGATCGAAGACCCTCGTCATCATTATAAGCTCTATCATCGCAGGCCAAATCGAGCAGTGACATGGTACAGGTAAACTCGCAGTCCGGGTATTCGTTCAGAGCACCACGTTGATGAACTAAATACTGTTTAGGAAGTCAACTAGTATGTGACGGCGTGGGTTAGCAGCACCGTCGGCATGGGTCCTGAAAGGAAAGCTAGCGCAGAATGGAAATCATGGACAAGCACGAAAAGTAGTTAGCTACGTAGTATATGAAACGTTAATTCAAGTCTTGATCCCAAGCAGATTGTTGTCCTTAATACCGGTCGCTCTGGCACAACAAAAGTTCAACGAAATATACTTCAGTAAAAGAAGCCGATGCTTCCAGGAGCTTGAAACGCACCCGGGTAAAACCTTCATGTAGTTGCGGGGCTCTGCTCACTCGAAAACCAAGTCGTCCGACTCATCTTCTCGCGTCCTCTTCAGCCCTATCGTGCGAGTGGTGGGGATGGTGTTGGCAGTGTCCACGTTTTCATCTTGGGGCAGCAAATCTCGCACGAGCTTGTCAATACCTTCCATTTCGGCCTCGTAGATGGGAACTTCATTGCGGCGAGTATCATAGTCTCCGCCAGCTTTGACTATTTGCACATACGCATCTCGTCCCCGTCCACAGGCGACGAATTGGAGTGATCCCTGTATTTTCTGGTGAAGCAGGTCAGCTTGAGTTCGAGCTTCAGCGATTCCAGAAAAGCCACGAATCTCGTAAACGGAATTTGTGTCTTGAAGAAGAAACTCCTCGATTGCAGCTGCATTGGGGAAATCCTTGGTCAGGATGCTCCACGCGAAAGGCTTCTTCGAGTCTTCGATCTCATTAGCAAGCCACTGACGGCGTTTAGTCGCGACAGAAGCCAGGGCAGCACGATGCTCCGGTAAGCTCGAGTCATCCATGCATGCTAGAAACGCATCAACCACTGGACGAAGTAGCTTGCCATCCAGGTTTTGGAGTAGAGCCAGCAAAATCGAGAATACTGGCGGGCTTGCACACGCCATCGCATGGCTCAAAAGCTTGACGATCTTAGTCGAAGACACGAAGACCTCCGGACGGGTCAAGCACCATGATCTGGCCTTCCCAACTGCAAACGAGGTGAGATCTCTACGCGCAGAAGCGTTGTCACTCAGGGTATCCGCCAGCTCCAGTGCTTGGCTCAATCGAGTCTCCTGTGCTCTTACGTCGAGAGCAGCCAGTAGCGAAGATCGGACTCTTTCCCAGCCGAATCGTTGCACGAGCGTGGGGAGCCATTGGATGAATAAACTCTTCTCCTTCTCCTTCAGGTGAACGACGTACTTTCGGCAGAATGCGTCAACAAACTGCACATCTCCCAACTCGGCAATAACCGCACCAAGCTTCAGGCAAAGTGCCAATAGCAGAACAGGCCCTTTGCAAAACTCAAACGTCTTGCCAATGTGGCCGAAACCAAGGTACCGGTGCTTTTCGAGTAGCCTTCCGAGCGTTGTGACGCTGATGAACTGATGCGACACAATTACGGGAACAGAAGCCAAATCTCCGAATAGCGTCACTGTGTTCCCAATGTCAGCCGAAGCAGGCCAGGCAACAAGAGCAAACCGCTCGTGCAAACTGCTGGTTTTCCTGTTGCCACTCTCCCAGAGCTGACTCAGCGTCTCACTGCCAGGATTCAAGAAGCTGAATCTCCTCGTCCACGAGACGCCAGGTCCAGCACTGTTAATTTTCTCACCACTAGCAGAATACCACGCCTCGCCCTCCAATCCTTTGATCGATGACCCCAACTCGTACCATACACGAGCCAGATAGAACACTAGCTGTTTGCCCGGCGGAAGAAGTGCGTTCGCGTCTTTCAGCATCCGCAATCGGTCACAGTCCACTCCCGAAAGTGAGTTTATTCCTGCAGCAGCAATGTTCTCCTGTGTGCACTCCTTGGAGAGCATCATTGCGAGTATCACACTCTCTTGTTCATCAGTCTTGTCATCTTCCCCAATACGCATCCCACCACTCAGTTCAGCGTCATCAGGCCCTCCTTTGATCTTTTTCAACGCCTCAGCAAGTTGCATCCGAACAAAGTGTCGACCTTCCTGACAGCTCTCAAGTGAAAGACCTGCCGGCAAATACATCGAGTAGATCAGCACCACTCAATATCCACTCGCCACTTTCTCCACCGCGCAAAAAACTTCAGCACTATACACCAGAAAATGGGGTTTGAAACCCGCGGCTCCGTCCACTTTGCCCAAATCAAAGCGAAATTATCTCCCAGCTCCTTCTCCTTGCGCCACCCAGTCCCCTCCAGTATACTCCGACGGCAACAGCACCACCAAAGTCGCCACCGAGTCTCCATTCTCTAAGTCTTGCACTGTGTCAATTCGACCTCCAGCCCCCACCGCCATCAACTTGGACAGCACCGGCTGCAGCATAACTCCATCAAACCCCAGCCTTCGGGAGCTGATTTCAGCCAGTGACTGGAGCCCGATACTCCACGCCGGGTTCTTCATCGTCACTTGACCAGGAGCCAACGCCCACACATTCTCGCGAACCTCGTATCCTCGTTCCACAATTTTGCCGGCAACTTCCACACACAACGGGAGTGGCACAGTGCCGCCACCTTCCAGAGCGAGACCCGGCACGTCCGGGAGTGTGGAGGCCGCTTCTCCGAAGGAAGAGTGGCCGAGGTCGTGTGCTCTACCGAGCAGATCGCTGATCTCCTGGCAAGTTTTGTCGCGTGACACGAGCACGTCGTCTGGTCGGCCGATAGAGTAGAACGGCCACAAGTCTTCTGCTTGGTAGCCACTGTCGCGATGGCTGGAGTCAGTCTCGCTGTCGCTGAAGCTGTGCGGGAGGCTCGCGTCGTCCATTGGCGGCGTTCTTTCAGCTCGGAGTCCGATTGGAGAATGAATGACGCGGTCAACTTCAACTTTGCGCACGTCGCATATTTTTACGGTGTCGTAGTGATTCATTAGCAATAAAAAAATTAAGCTAGTATTCATGAACAAAAAATACTATATAATTTAGCTAAAGTTGGAGGGCGGTAATTGGATTGGGATGAATGTGTTGTGCATTTGCTTTGATTGCAATGCCCTGCAGTATTTTCTGGGAAAATTGCATGTACTGAGGTTCTGGAGATGAACAGTTATGAGACCTGGAGAAAGTAAACAAAAGTGGCCTACAATATGGCGTGAGGGCAGGGATTCATGTTTTCATAATATCTCGTATACTTCGTAGTAAATACTTCGAACCCCTCATATACTTCTAAGTAAGTAGTCCGATTAAGGAGGACATACAGATGGATGCACCTTTCGAAAAGTCTTCTTTTACTCGAAGTACCAATAACCCCTTCTCCGCTTGAGGAAAATTCCATAACATTTAACAGGTCAGTAGCAGACTTTCTCCTCCAGTAGCCCCAGTCTGCAGCGCCCGCACCCCAGCCCGACCACAGAACTTGTTGTAGAAGTTGTGCTTGCTGGCGTTGACCCTAGGCTCGACCAGCGCGTCCTTGAGCAGCTTGTCAATGTTGCTCTGGTCCAAGCAGCCGCTCTCCACGAGGGGTTCCATCTTCTCGAGCTGCGCCTTGTAACGCCGCAGCTGCGTCTCCAGCACGGCGAACTCCTTGGCGGTCTCGTCCAACTGCTGCAGGTGCTCCTGGTCCTCCAGGTCCTTTAGGAACGCCGCGTTGTTGCACAGCGAGTCCAGACCTTCGATCGTGAACTTGAGCATCTCCAGGTGCTGCTTTTTGGCCGCGTATTGAGCGGCCTTCAACGCGCTAGGCAACGCCTGCTGGATGTTGGCCTCGAGCTCCGCGTCCATGTTGACACTTGAGTTAATTGACAGTTGGAAAAAGAAGTAATGGGTGCTGCTCGTTCTGGTAGATTGAATTGGCAGTGGACGAGGACGTGTTCATCCAGGAGAGCGAGAGCACGAAGAGCACGATCTGCCCGGTCACGCAGATGGAGATGGAGGACCCGCTGCGGAAGTACGGTGCTGCCTGCTGCTTAGTGTTGGGCTTGTGTTGATGCTGAATGTTTTGCGGGCTGTTGTTGTTGTTGTTGTTGTGCAGTCCTACCTGCGGCCACACGTACTCGAAAAAAGGAATCCAAGCGCATTTGCAGCGAAGCAAGAAGTGTCCCGTTGCAGGTGGGTGTTGGGCGGAGTTATTGCTTGCGTGGTATATATTTTATAATTTGCTAACGGGTATTGAACAGGTTGCCCGCAACAATTGTCGTTTGACAAGTTGGAGCGCGACGTCGAAATGGAGGTCATCATTGATCGCAGGTATGACCCGGAAGATGCTTCATTGCTTCTTGTTGATTGATCACTGACACTAACACTACTTCTGCGTTAGTCGCCACAACTCGGAGCAGCAACGGTCCCAGGCTGTTGCTGCAAGAGATCAGGACGACGAAGAAGAGGAGGAGGAATATGTTGTCGAGTAGTATTGCTGTAAGGTCTATCCTCAGCGATATACTTTCCAGGATGGCATATCGATTAGATCAAGTTATAATGTGCAGCCTATCGGGAGGGATGACGTCCGAGGGGAAGTCCATAAAATGTGAGTTCCTCGTTTGCACTGCCAATTTCGTTTTGCTCATGGCAGGCAAGTCGTCGAAATGGTCTAAAGTTGGCGGAGTGACGGGTAATTAGATCGGGCTTTTCAATAAGTACTCAACTGTAGAAGTCATGCTATTGCAGGAGGGCGACGACTACAGAGAGACCGTTTGCTACCAGGTCTGCAACCGTCCGGAGATGTTGGTGAGCCGGTGCGAAGTACATGTACAGTCATGAAATACAATCTATCTACCCAGAAAATGCTTACATTTTCGTCGGGGGGTATGAATATTTACTTCTGCAATGTTGTCCAACCAATACCGGTACAGTAGGCAAATAGGCAAGGAGGAATGCAATCACACATCTCGGTGACGCTAACGTTAGCATTCTGTCATCAAAGAAGCATGAAATCCAAAGTCAGCGTCTTAATTAGTTCTGTAATATCCCCGTGGTTTTCTTGACGGTGCCCAACTTTTCGCGCACATCGTATGGAGGGCGCGATTGGCTTGTTGAGTCACCGTATTGCTGTATCGCTGTAGGGTGCACCACCGTACTAATCGAATGCTGGTCATTTGTCACTAGCACAGCAGGGTACTTTGCATCAGTATCTCCACAGGCAGAGTGTGTAATGTTGCTCGACTCTATTCTTTTTTTTATAAAAAAAGGAAGTACTTCCGAAGTGCTAGAAAAACTGCCGCTTTGAAGAGCGCAACAATACGAGGGAATGAAACTCAAGTCCATTGTTGAGCAAGTTCTCAGCTTGGACCAACCTTTTACAGAATAATGACCGTATTCTCACCTTTTTTCGTAGACTTGCCCACCGAGCTGCAAACTGGATTCCACTTGCACTTCACCCAGCGGTAAAACTACTCGACAACATATTCCTCCTCTTCTTCGTCGTCCTGATCTCTTGCAGCAGCGGCCTGAGACCGTTGCTGCTCCGAGTTGTGGCGACTAACGCAGAAGTAGTGTTAGTGTCAGTGATCAATCAACAAGAAGCAATGAAGCATCTTCCGGGTCATACCTGCGATCAATGATGACCTCCATTTCGACGTCGCGCTCCAACTTGTCAAACGACAATTGTTGCGGGCAACCTGTTCAATACCCGTTAGCAAATTATAAAATATATACCACGCAAGCAATAACTCCGCCCAACACCCACCTGCAACAGGACACTTCTTGCTTCGCTGCAAATGCGCTTGGATTCCTTTTTTCGAGTACGTGTGGCCGCAGGTAGGACTGCACAACAACAACAACAACAACAGCCCGCAAAACATTCAGCATCAACACAAGCCCAACACTAAGCAGCAGGCAGCACCGTACTTCCGCAGCGGGTCCTCCATCTCCATCTGCGTGACCGGGCAGATCGTGCTCTTCGTGCTCTCGCTCTCCTGGATGAACACGTCCTCGTCCCCATCGACTGCAAATTCAATCTACCACCAGCAATTAACACGTAGCACAGACGGTCAGCCTCAAAATTTCTCCTCCAGTAGCCCCAGTCCGCAGCGTCCTCACCCCGGCACGGTCGCAGAACTTCTTGTAGAAATCGTGCTTGCTGGCGTTGACCCTGGGCTCGACCAGCGCGTCCTTGAGCAGCTTGTCAATGTTGCTCTGGTCCAAGCAGCCGCTCTCCACGAGGGGTTCCATCTTCTCGAGCTGCGCCTTGTAACGCCGCAGCTGCGTCTCCAGCACGGCGAACTCCTTGGCGGTCTCGTCCAACTGCTGCAGGTGCTCCTGGTCCTCCAGGTCCTTTAGGAACGCCGCGTTGTTGCACAGAGAGTCCAGACCTTCGATCGTGAACTTGAGCATCTCCAGGTGCTGCTTCTTGGCCGCGTACAGCGCCATCTTCAACGCGCTGGGCAGCGCCTGCTGGATGTTGGCCTCGAGCTCCGCGTCCATCGCGTGGCGTTTCTTAAAAAGCGCGCCAAAGGTTTAGAAATACGCGTGGAAATGATTGCTACTAGTTTGTGTTTTCACACACAAAATACAAATAGTTTTTGTATCCGCCCAAAGAGAAAGGCTCATAGTGATGGCGTTCGACGCGGCGGGAGCAGCGAATCTGGAGCAGTTCACGCTGCTGGCCAAGAACGCGCGCGGCCGTGCGTGTGTGGCGCTGATCCAGCAGGTGCTGAGCAACAAGAAGCTCTTCGTGTTCCGCGAGCTGCTGGACATGCCCAACGTTGAGGCGCTGCGGGAGTCCGAGTACAAGGAGCACTACGAGCTGCTGCGCATCTTCTGCTTCGGCACATACAACGACTATCTGGGTAAGTGAAGTGCTGTGACTTTTGTGAGTTGTTGGGGTTAATGGAGCTAATTGTGTGTCGTTGGGGTGTCTTGGGTCTAGCACGAAAGAGCGAGCTGCCGGAACTCACGCCGCAGCAAGTGAACAAACTCAGGAAGCTCACGGCTGTGTCGCTCGCACACAGGTTCAAGGTAGGGGAAGAGCGGGCGTTAGTGGTTGGGTGGATGATTGTAGAGGGTGGACTGATTGCGAGTGCTTTGTGCTGCTAGAACATCCCCTACGATACGCTGATGCAGGATCTGGGCGTCTCGACGGTGCGCGAGGTGGAAGATATCTTGATCGACACAATCTACTCGGTGGGATCCACAGCTTGCAATAAGAGAAGGGGTGTAGTGGAGGGGTTGAGCTCATGTGTCCGTGACGTTTGGATTGCTGCTTGCAGGGTCTGATTCAGGGCAAACTGGACCAGAAATTGCGCTGCTTCGTTGTGAAGTACGCTGTCGGGCGCGACACGCATCACGAGGACATCGACGACATGATTCAGAAACTTACCAACTGGAAGACGCAGTCTGCTGAGATTTGTGAGAAGATCAACACCATCCTCGCGTACGGAATCGTATGGGCTGCTTTCACTGGATCGGTGCCGATTTTTAACGCTTCTGCTGCTTGTCAATGTCAGTATGGCGGAGAAACAGGAAGAGGACGAACGCACACGCGAGGAAGGTATTCGCACCAAGATTGCAGCTCGAGCAAGTGAGCGCGACAAGGGCATGGCTGCTGGTAGCGGAGGCTACCGTCCAGGCGAAGATTTTGCCCTGTATGCGGACGCTGGACCGCGACGAGGGTAAGTTTTGCCATCATATGGTATTGTATTCGGAGAGGCTATATGACTGACGCTATTGAGGTGTGGTGTGGTCATCAGAGCACCGTCCAAGCAGCGCATGCACTCGATGGGACGCAAGGGCCGGATGTGAGCAAGCAGAGACTCTCACCAAAATCGAGTCAGAGTCGATTCAAGCAAGTCGGTACTTGAACGGCACCTACAGCTAACTTTTGATAAAGGACAGCCTACGCGCCCAGGTTTCCCAGGTTAGAAAAATACTCAGATTTCTGATTCTGCAGGTATTGTCCAGGTGATGCCCCAGGTTATATCCAGGTATATGAATTATGAGCGTTATCAGATGAAAGTAATTTAAACAAGGATGGTTAAATTACCAGAACAGTTAATGTCCAGGTTAAAAACCTGGAAAACTCATGTGCGTAGTACTTGAGGAAAAGTGAAAATGACGGCCTACAGGCTGTGTCGGATACATTCTAGCCATTCATTTCTTGTTTCAGTGTCCAGGTAGTTTGCAGGTATGAAAACCTGGAAAACTCATGTGTGCACTACTCGGAAAAAAGTCGAAGTGGCGTCGATTGGTATCGATCGGAACCACACGACATGATAATGGCTTCAAAACAATCATTGTGTACCCATCTACTCGTACAGGTTTCTTACAGGTTGCAAACAAAAGTTGTCCATGTATTATCCATAAGATGCACTTCTCGCTGCTGCTCACTGTCTAGCTACGCTTCATCGTGGTGATCTTGTGCAGCATTGCCCAACGCAGCTTGGTGACGCCACTGGGAGACACATCACTTGGCTCTTCGCTGTCAACGCACGTCCACAATAGACGGCACGCAAACACCCCGCAGCTATCGCCATCTGTCTGCTTCGGCTCCGTCACTTCGATGTCGCTGTAAGCTTCATCCTCAAGGGGGCCTGCAAGGAGCTCGCTTGCCATCTTCTTAAGCCGTTTCTTGTTTCTCTTCCCACCCATGCTGTCATAGCCGCGCTTCACGGTCCACTACGATGCATCCCCAATGAACTCCACCAAAATTGACCGGCATAAATACAAAAGCATGCGCCTCAATACCACTAGCAATCTCGCCCAGCGACGTTGGTGCGAGTATGTGCTTCCCCATCTTACCCTTCTTAAGAGGAGGAACCATCACCGTCACGTTGTTCTTGTAAGTAGACAGAAACACGGTAAACGCCCGCAAGGCGTTGTCGTTCAGCCAAGCGGAGTCTCTGAAGCAGAAAAGGTCTGCGTAGGTCAGGTCGAAGCCAAAGCCATGTATGGCCAGCACTCGAGTACTTGCCAAGTAACAGCCCAGGGGGGGCGGGGTCCGCTACGATACCTTTCACGTCTTGGCTTAGCCATGTGCAACACAGTACCGCATTCCGGCATGTAGCCTGCCAATTCCACAGCGACTGCATCGCTTCTAACTGCACCCGGGTAAATCTGCCAACTTTCTCAATGGCGGCCACGTAACCTTCCGTTTCGCGTGTCACCCCTCCATCACTGTCCAGCTCAATCTCCTCCCCTTTTGCCAAACCACCTCTCAGTTTAGCTAGAGCGTCTTCAACGACGGACTCCGGTAGTCGGAAGCGCACAACTTCGCAAATATATTCCGTGTACGACATCCACTGGATTGATTTTCCGTCACCTTTCTTCTTTGTTTCATGCGTAGTCAAAAACGATCTGAGCTCGCGGACACCTGGCTTAATCAATTCCAGCGTTGCTGCCACTTCCGTCACGTCCTTATCTCGTAGTAGAGCTCTGAGTTTCATTCCATTGTTGTATTCTTTCAGCGCCAATGCTGCCTTCTCTCTCATCTGAGCACGATTCAACCGTGGTCGACCGACACGCCTCTTGTTTGTCAGTCGAACCTTTGAGCCTTTGCCTGGCTGCACCGATTCCTGGGCGGAGGCTGTCACTTGTGTCGGGGGTTCGTCTTCGTCATCATCTGGTCCTTTTTCGTGAGCTGCATCCTCTCCACCAGATGCACTAGGACGAGCATTCGTACCCCCCCCCCCCGTTCCTGGGCTACCTCCACCGCCTCCGTGGCTATCACTGCTAATACTGTTGCCCCCGTCACCACTAGCGCCAACCCGATCGGGGCCCGAATCGTCGACGAAGTCTGCATCAGCTTGCACCAGCGGAAACTTCCCTTGACGTAAGTCGTACCACCACTTATCAATCTGCTTCATCGCAGACTCGAACACAGTGTCATCGCATCGGACAAGCTCGCTGCTGATTCGACCAAACGCCTGCTGCGAACGCCGATACTTCTCGGCTTCACTCAAACTGCCAGCGCTCGCAGCTGAATGCCCTTTGTAGAGCTTAGCAACGAACGGATTTTCCACCTCCATCAAGTCCTGTTGCGAGATGCGATTCTGTCCAAACCACCTATTCATGCACATCAATAACAAAACATGGTTAAAACTTGGTCAATACATGGGTAAAACGAGATACCTGGATAACACCTGGTCAATACTCATAGAAAAACTGGACATACCTGGACGAAATGGAAGAGAATGGGATGATGAAGGGGCTTCCACACACTTTTCTTTAGACCATTGCATGTCTGCACGGAAGCTTCATAGTCTGCGAAAACTCGCAGTCGCACACCCAGCCTTCCTTCTCGAGGAGATACTCGTTCTCCTCGCTTTGTACGGTGATCGTAGCGCCATTGTCCTTGAAAGCGTAGGTATCGACAACCCCGGGGTTCGTAGCAATGTCAAATTGTGTCTTCAGAGCAGCTGCTACCCACCTCGTGGTCATGCCCAGAGCGACGTTCAACTCCTCAGGGATGAGGCGTCTCTCAGGGTACCCGGCATCCCGACCTTGGACCGATAGGCTTCTTCTTTGCGGCGCTGATATTCCAGAAGCACCTCCAGACTAGCGCGCATAGTTAGATGGCCTTTCAGCTTTCGCTTCAGCTTACCGAATAGGCTCTCGACACGATTATTCGTGTGATTGCCGAAGTGTGGCAAATCGACACGATAAGCCATCACCCACATCTCTCGGCACGCATTCCAGTTCTTGTCGAAATACTCCCATAGCTCCACACGACCATTCCGCGAGGCCAGACTCTTGAACTCATCCCGATGCCGCACATAGTCTTCCTCAGTTCTGGAGTATGTCATGTTCGTGATGGTGTGCTTCATCTGCGTCAAAACTTCTGCTTCGTAGGCTCCATAGGTCTGCGATTTCTTGATGGTTTCATGAAGCCACTTGATGACATGAAAGTGGCAGATAAGAAGGAAGTGCTGGCTTGGGTGTCGACCAGGAGCTCGATTCCGGGCATGAGCGGAGACTCGGCAGGAACCTGGCGAATACCTGGGTAAGACCTGTAGATGTCGTCGGAAACGGGGTGGTTGTGGCTGTAGACTTCTCGCTTCATGACGATACCCAACTTTCCATCTCGGCGAAGGACGACTTGTGCAAGCATCTGGAACGGACACTCAGTGCGGCGGAGCTTGTGCGACATCCTCTTCCCCGTCGATCTCTCACGCTCCTTCCAGCCGTGTGTGCAGATGTACTTCCGCTGATAGGGATCCCACTCGTCGGGCACGAGAGGAATTTCTGTGTCAGGAAGCCCTCGGAAGCGGACCTGCTTACGCAAGTCTGCGTTGCGGCGAGCCACGTTGATGACCTCCGCGATGACGATCTTCTGTCGCGTCGCATCCATGTACTCCTGTTGGCTGACATCAAGCAGGGGCCACGAGTCCTGCTGGGCCTTGAACGCTAGAACGTGCACCAGGTCCTCGTCTTCAACGTCGGAAACGGTGCGCTTGTTCCCTTGGCGCTGCCCGCCCTTGGTAGCTCCTTTCTTCTTTTTCTTCTTCTGCGCGCCCTCTTCTTCATCTTCTTCAACCTCTTCATCTCCGTCTTCCTCTTCGTCTGCATCTTCTTCCTCTTCGTCTGCATCTTCGGTGTCTTCTTCCTCTTCATCATCTTCTTCTTCCTCTTCTTCTGCGACATCTTCTTCCTCTTCGGCCGCTTTCTCCTCTTCATCGCCAGTGGATGAGTCGCCTTCTGCAGTCGCATGAGGGCCGAACTGCGTGGCCCGTGAGTCGTGGGCATCCTGAAGCGCCTGTGATCGCTGCGATCTGGTGCGCGCGCTGGTCGCCTTCCTGCGTGCCTCCTCCTCCTGCCGCGCCCGCTCGGCCATCTGCGCCTTGATATGGGCCATCTTGGGGGTGCGCGCCATGATGCTGGGGTCTCCAGGGCCGAGCAGCCGCCGCACGTCGAATGCCACGTGGCTGGAGCTGGGCCCCTCGAATTGGTGGCTGTGAGGCAAAAGCTGAAATGACGGTAATAAAAAACGGGATAAATTATCCCTGGACAATACCTGTCGCCAGACCTGAATAATACCTGTTTTGCAAAACCTGGGCTAGTAGCTTGCCGTTTGATAAATGAAGCAAGTCGCTCCTGCCGTCGTTGACGCTGAAGTCCTCTTCAACTCGCCAAAATTAACGTTAGCAACCTCTCCAAATCAAATGTTTCGGTCACACACCCAATCAGCGCACATAAATAGTCAGCGCATTCACATTGCGTTCACTTGGTCTCACTATCGCCACTAACCTCCACCCAGTTTGAATTGAGTTGCCCATGACGATTCCCAACCATGGCAACGGCGCCCAGCGCAAGCGTCCGATGCACGCTTCGGGCCAGGGCTTCAAGAACCACAAGAAGCACCAACAGCACCGCGCCAACGGCGCCACTCCATCCGTCTCGGAGCTGCAACGCACGCGCCAGAGACTCCCCATCTACGCGCACCGCAGCAAAATCATCGAGGCGGTCAATGGCAACCAAGTCGTGATCCTCGTGGGCGAAACGGGCAGTGGCAAGACGACGCAGATCCCTCAGTACATTTGGGAGAGCGACCGCGCCCATGCCCGCGTGGCCATCACGCAGCCGCGTCGCGTTGCTGCCATCACCGTGGCCCAGCGTGTGTGCGAGGAGGCCAACCGCGGCCCGCTGGGCGACAGCGTCGGCTACTGCGTCCGGTTCGACGACACAACGTCCAAGAACACGAGACTCAAGTTCATGACGGACGGTATGCTGGTGCGAGAGGCGCTGCTGTCCCCCACGCTGGAGCGGTACTCGGTGGTCGTGCTGGACGAGGCCCACGAACGGACACTGCAGACGGACATTCTGTTCGGCATTGTGAAGCGCGCTATGCGCAAACGCAAAGACCTCAAGGTGGTGGTCATGTCTGCTACGCTGGATGTGGCGCTGTTCCGGAGATTCTTCGAGGACTTCAAGCCCTCGGTGATTCAGATCCCCGGTCGCATGTTCCAGGTCGACGTGTTCTACACCGCCAAGACGCAGCCGGATTACTTGGACTCGGCCTTGGTGGCTGTGCTTCAGATTCACCTGGACGAGAAGACGAGTAATGGAAGTATTCTGGTGTTCTTGACCGGCCAGGAAGATATTGAGACGCTGGAAACGCTGCTGGAGGAGTACGCCCGATCGCTTCCCGCGGACGCGCAGAAACTCATGGTGTGTCCGATTTTCGCCGCTATGCCGCGTGAACAGCAGATGAAGGTGTTCGAGCCGGCTCCGGCAGGAGTGCGCAAGGTGATTCTTGCAACAAATATTGCAGAGACTTCCATTACGATCAACGGTGTCCGGTACGTCGTGGACACGGGGCTCGTCAAGCAACGCTCGTTCGTTGCCTCGAGCGGTATGGAGATGCTGCAGACCGAATCGGTGTCGAAAGCGCAGGCTTGGCAGCGGACAGGTCGTGCTGGACGTGAAGCCCCTGGTATCTGCTATCGGATGTTCCCGGAGGAGACTTTTGAGCAGCTTCCGGAGCGTGCGATTCCGGACATTCAACGTGTGAGCCTGGAGGTCGTCGTGCTGCAGCTCAAGTGCATGGGCATTGACGACGTGCTGGGCTTCGACTTCATTGAGAAGCCACTCAAGACGTCTCTCATCAAGGCTCTTGAAAAGCTGTACGCGCTTGGTGCGCTGGACAACAAGGGCAAGCTCACCACGCGTGGTCGACAGATGGCTGGTCTGCCCGTGGAGCCAATGTACGCCGTGATGCTGCTGAAGGCGACGGAGCTGGGTTGCGCCGAAGAAGCTTTGAGCGTCGTGGCCATGCTGTCTGTGGAGTCCATCTTCTACTCCCCTCGCGACAAGAAGGCCGAGGCAGCGCAATCGCGCGCGCGGTTCGTTGCATACGAAGGCGACCAGATCACGTTGTTGAACGTCTTCAACGGCTACATGCAGTGCGGAGCGAAGCAACGCAACAAGTGGTGCCGCGACCACTACATCAACCACCGCGCGATGACGCGTGTCGAGAGCGTGCGGCTGCAGCTGAAGGGGTACCTGGAGAAGTTGGAGCTGCCCATCGACTCGTGCTTCCCGGACATCGACCCGCTGCGAAAGAGCATCGTGGCCGGCTTCTTCCTGAACACAGCGATGCGGTCGGTGGCCGAGGGCCTGGGTGGTTCCAAGACGGCGTACAAGACCATGTGCGGCCGCTCGGAGATCGTCAAGGTGCACCCGTCGTCGTCGCTGTTCATGCGCAACCCGCCGCCGAAGTGGGTGGTCTACAACGAGCTGGTGTTCACGAGCAAGCACTACATCCGGTCCGTTGTCGTGATCGAGAAGGAGTGGCTCGTCGAGCTGGCCCCCACGTTCTTTGCCAAGAAGAACGGCGTCGAGAAATAGAGCAGCAGTGTCTGTAGACCTGTAGAAGCATCGGTAGTACTAGATATATAACATGCATGTCAACGCCAATGTTGTAGCCGTTGAAGCGTAGCCATCTCCTGGTTTTGCCCCCTAATTGGTGTGCCTGCCGCACCTTACTTTCGGCAGCGCACCATAGCCACCGCTGCGACTCACTTGGTGTTTGTATGTGCCTGCCATCCTCAATCCCCTTCCCTGTCCTAGCATTACGGTCCGATACATTTTCTGTTTGGCGCAATCGCTTTCCGCAGGGTTATGACCTACCCGTTTAAATTGATAAATTTAGTATCGTATTTAAAAGTATAGTATTTCGACCAATGAGAGCGCTCGAAGCCTCCTGGGCGTTGGCCGCCAATCGATTGGGCCCGAGCCACAGCACTGTGCGCCCGTGACGCCCGCCGCCCACACCTTCAGTCCCTCGCTCGTTCAATTCATCCGACTGGTACGTGCCGAGCTTCTGGAACCCATGCCGCCGTCCTACAGGGCCCCGCTCCGCCCTGCTCCGTCCCCCTATGCAGCCCCATGCAGAGATCGCAGCCGCACGCCAGGCTTCAGAACACCTCGCAGCTCAGCAGCGCACCAATAGACACAGGGAAGGAGACGCCACTGGCAGGAGCTGTATTTTAAAAGGCTTTACAGTCCGCACTCTCGCCGTCGGTGGGCAAATAAGGGGGGACAGGAAACACAGGGCAGAGCGTGCAGCCAGGACGGCGGGCGCACGATTGTGGTTGCTGGCAGGCAGGTTTGACTGACGTTGTGTTGCGTTGGTGTGGCTGCAGAACTTCGTTACAATGGTCGCTTCCTCCGGTCAGCCTACTCGTCTCTACGTCAAGGGTGTGTTCCTTGGCTACAAGCGTGGCCTGCGCAACCAGTACTCGCACACCGCGCTGGTGAAGATCCAGGGCCTGACGGACAAGAAGGACGTGGACTTCTACCTGGGCAAGAAGATCGCCTACATCTACAAGGCCAAGTCCCTGAAGAACGGCTCCCAGTTCCGCGTCGTGTGGGGCAAGGTGATGCGTGCTCACGGCAGCAACGGCGTCGTGCGCGCCAAGTTCGCCAAGAACCTGCCGGCCGAGGCCATCAGCAAGAGCGTGCGCGTCATGCTGTACCCGAGCCGCGTTTAAGTGCGTACCTGAGTGCATTCGACTCGTGCGTCCTCAAGCAGCTTTGGTAGCCAATGACAACGAAGAGGGATTGTGACAACACACACCGAACGGCGTTGCCTTACTTTCGTCTTCATTGAGTACTCCTCTTTGCTTCCAGCTTGCTTGGTTTTGAGGTCTCTAGTCTACTGCTTTGTGTTGAAGCGCCAGGTTCAGTGGCAACTTTCCGCTGTTAAACGCAGGTTTAGCTGTAGGACTCTGGGTACAATGACACTCTTGATTACCATGGTGGTCAGCTTGTCCACTTTGGAACGACGCGAAGACAGGAACGATGTTTCGGTGGTTCGAACTGATAACATGCACTAGGAGGCTACGACACTTACGCGCTATAGATGATTCTAAAGGAAACAACACCCTACGCATTCCGAGAAGCGCCATACTTATTTGGTTGCATTAAGAACGGACGGTGGGCGCGACGACACATACGCACTTGGCAAAGCAGTTGGATAGTTCTACATTTCGAACTCCTCATAGTGCACATCGAAGATGCCAGCGAAGTTGGAGGCCTCCGTCTCCACGGCATGAATCAGACCCATGGGGCCTGATACCCAAGTGCCAATGCCAGTGATGTTGACGGCGAAGTTGTGCGACTGCTCCTTCACAACCTCGTTGAACAGCTCCTTGACGTTCAACCGTGAGCGGCTCACAGGGTGGTTGAACTGAACCTCCTGTCCGTCGAACGAGAGCGAGTGGGAGTAGTCCGTGTCGCGGTCGACATTTGCCATCGTCTCCTGGGGACCGTAGCTGCCTAGAGTGGGCATCAGGCGCGACTTCTCCATCCGGCTCATAGATCGAGGAGTGGGCTCAGTGAACGCCACCGCCCAGCCCACAGCGGCTCCAACGATCATAATGAGAACCTCCACGACGCGCTGCATCGGCCACATGTTCTGGTTGACGCGCAGCTCGCCTAGAATCGGGTAGTTATACCTGATGAGGAACAGGCACCAGAAGCTGCAAGTGAACGTCACGAAGAACAGCAGCATCTGACGAGGCACCGATCGTGACGACTGGAAGAACGGGCGCGTCGGAACCATGCTCGTGTCGTCCATCGGCTTCAGCGTAATACCGTTGGGGATGTCCACACCGCCCAGGTGCTGGTCACCCGTGAAGCACAGACGAACCTTGAACTTGACGTGATCCGGGTCGTACTGCTCGATAGCATCCAGAAGAGGTTCGAACTCGTGGAAGATACCGATCTCACGTGACGTCCAGTGGAAGTACACCTGCGTGAACTCCATGTTCGGGTCGTTGTTGCGCATGCAGTCCAGAATCTTGCCAACAATGCTGATGATCGGCGTCGCACCAATACCACCAGCCACGAACACGAGCGCTGGGTAGTGCTGGAAGTCATCAGACATCTTGCCGTAGAAGCCATCGACGTAAATGAGCGGCATCTTGCGCTCCTCGCGCGCCTGAATAGCCACTGCGTACAGCGACTTGGTCCAGTTACCAATACACTTGACGTGCACCGTGAAGGTGTCCTCGTACTCGATCGGCGACGAACTGATGCTGAACGGGTGCCACTGAGTGTGCGACAGCAGCGGAATGCGAAGGTACACGAACTGACCAGCATGGTAGTGGCCCGACTTGCCAGGCGACCGGCGGAAGACCAGACGCGTGATCTCACCGGGGATGGCCTCCAGGTCCACGACTTCACACGGCATGCGGCTCTGGCTTCGAGCCAAGATGCGGTGCATGACATAAAGGCACACGGCCGGGTACATCCAAATGACGAATTGCGAGAAGTGCAGCGCGCTGAAGAAGAGCACGAAAATGAAGAGGTGGTGGCAGTAGTAGAACACGTCGTAGTACTTGCGGCGGATCGGGTTCAGCGATGTCACTCCGATGACGATACAGCACAGCAGGGCCAGTTGGCCACAGAAGTTCTGCAGGCGTGCCTTGCCCACAGTTCCGTAGTCACAGTCCATGCAAGGGAACGCCGACTCCAGGAACGTGCCGCTCTTGAACCACGCGTAGTAGTACGGAATAGCGTGGAGCGCCACCATCGCCACGGTAAAGAATCCAATCCAGCGGTGGTACTTGATAGCGTGCGAGTAGTCGATGCCCATGGAGATCATCCAGAAAGAGTTCCGTGTGGCCGGGATAATCAGCAGCGAGAAGCAGAGCACGGCGTTGAAGCCGAAGACCATGCCCACGAGCCGGAACACGGACGAAGAATCGGTGGAATCGGCCTCCACGAGATCGGCGTAGTTGCGCGAGAACACGGCGGAGAACCAAATGGCGTTGAGTCCGAGGAAGACCAATGTGCAGATGGACTCGGCGTACGAGATATTGATGGTGCCGACGAAGATCTTACGCTTCAGGAAGCGCATGACGGTGCGGTGCGCTCCAGTCGGCACAGGCGGCAGCGCGTCTCCCAGTGCGAGCGCCATGCCGCCGATCATGAAGGGCAGGCCAATGAGCACGTAGTTGACCACGAACTCGACGATCTCGCGGTGGCCTCCGACCCACTCGGCGTTCTTGACCGAGGAGCCGAAGAGCACGTAGAGCTGGTAGCGGAAGCCCAGGCGGTACTCGGGCAGCTCGTGGTAGATGATGGCGAAGATGACGAGGGCGGCGCAGATTCCGACGGTCAGGAAGGGCCACGTCTTGTAGTTCTTGTCCACGGGCGTGCCGTACACGAAGGGCGTGGCGAGCTGCGAGTGCTTGCCGGCCATGTTGGTGCCGCTCATGCTGAGCGCGAAGAACTTGCTCTCGCCGCGGTTGCTGTCTCCGTTGGCGCTGTAGCCCGAGGGCGGCTGGCGCATGTCCAGCGAGTCGGCCGGCGAGTCCAGCACGTTGCTGTCCATGGAGAGGTTCACCATGGCGGTCGGCGCTCGAGAGAGTTGCTGTCGGCGGTGGTGAGGCGGGGGAACTGTGGCTGGCTGGCTGGCAGTTGACTTGCCCGGTGGCGTTGCTCGGTAGCGTTAGTTAGCGACTGCCTGCCTGCTGCTTCCGTGCGCGCGTGGAGGGGGGAAGGCGCGGATGTATGTAGAAGAGCGCCGCCGCGTTAAGAGACTCGAGAGGCGACAGGGCGACTGCGCTACGTAATCGCCAAAGTGCGAGTGCTGCGCCGGCCTGGTCGAGCGCAATTCCCCAACTGCAGGTGTGTGGCTCCATCTGGGCCCAGCACATCGCGGGATGAAAGGTTGTGTGAAGCCAGCGGCCTGTTCCAACGGTACAGGAGAGACAGAGCTTTGACTGCGCCTTTGTATAGCCGCCACAAACCACCAGCCGGCAACCGCGAACAAGGCCATGCCTCCCCAATGGGGCTGTTTCGTGCAGTGCTCGAAACTGCACGAAAGTACTTTCGTGCAGATTCATCAGCCCTTTATTACGGGGATAGCCCATTGAGACATCAATTGCGTCTCTCTTCTAAGTACGATTAAAGCTCTTGAAATTACAGGCATAACCCTACCAAAACTGGTGCACGAAACACCTCGTTTTCAAGCCCGACGGCTGGATCGCTTCCAACGTCAGCACCAAGGCGATCCTGGGGCGGGTTTTCGCTAGGAGGCGCTGAGCGCGGCGGCTGCTGCAGTAGCTGTTGGCGCTGAGCGCGGCGGCTGCTGGAGTAGCTGTTGCCGCTGCAACTTACGAACGATGGAAATGCTGTGATACAATATTAGAGCATCGCTGCTGTAAAGCAACACCATGTTTAATCTCTGGAGTCGGGCTTTGAGATTACACATCTGATGACGTGCGGGGTCCCGGTCCAATGAGTTCGCTTGCAAGATTGTTGTTCGCACATTTTCTCGTTGAGGGTGGGTGTGTATCTCAACCGGGTTGGTCTGATCGGTGCATGCACATTGAGAATTGCACAGGCAAATTCTCAGGCACTTCCTCTTGCTGACACACGATTGCATTGTCGGCAGCAAGCCACCAGAACACCGAGGCAAGTACGCATGTACGAGGTCGCTTCCTCGAGTCGCAGTCACTCTGAGTGACTCACTCAAACCTTGGGTCGGAACTTTTGGAATTTGGAAATTGCCATGCTTCTACTGGCGTCACCAGCTCGTCTTCGCCACATATCGCGCCACCGAATCCATTGTCGATTGGGCGAAACGACACCGAAACCCAACAAAGGATGCCCAGGAGGAGCGCCAAGAAGGCGCTCGCCAGCGCAACAAAGCAGGTGGGGGCGGCGGACGACAGCGATGAGAAGCATCGGGGCGGCGACGAGGAGGATGAGGACGACGTCCCGCTCGCCAAGATCCTGCAGCAGCGCCGTCGCGCAGCCACATCGAAACGGAGCAATGGAGCCAGCGGTGGGCGGAGCTGCTCTTGACTTGCTCTTGATCTTCTACCCGACCAAGGAGCAGGCTCCGAACAGCTTTCTGATATGCTTATTTCGCTGTGCAAGTAGCAGCAACGCGGCGCCGCACGTTGCCACAGCTGAGCGAGGTGGCCGAGCACTGTGTCATGGAGTTCCTGCCGGTCGTGCCCGACCGCTTGCGCGTCGAGGCCGTGTGCAGGCGCTGGCGGCGCCTGAGCCGGGAGCAGGTGCCTGTCACGGAGCTTGACTTCGGCCAAGTCGCTGTCCGGCCGCTGCTGAGACGCGACGTCAGCGCCATGATGGAGCGCGCCCAGCAACAGCTGACGCGGCTCGTGCTGCCCGACATCACCCTGGTCGACGCGCACATTGAGCTCATAGTGCAGCAGCGGAACCTCCGCGTCTTCCGAGCGCACAGGTTTGTGAGGCTTTTTGCTGAGAAGAACTGGCCCCAGATGCTGATCCGTTCTCATCGCATGCTTGGCGCGAAGGATGCAGAAGAAGCACATCTTCAACATCCTGAAGCAATGCCCCAATCTGAAGGTCCGTAGCCTGCTAGGTGCTATGAGAAAGCTGTATTTGGGTGACGATAACTTAATGAGCGTGCACGTGCGGCTGCTGCAGAGCTTGGAGCTACTGGACTGTCGCGCCTTGACCTTGAGCGGGTGGCCGCGCGATGCGGTGGCGCTGCGCGAGGTGTATCTCAATGGATGCAACTTCGTTACGAATCAAGCGGCGAGCTCGCTGATCAAAGTGTGCGGGAGTACGCTTGAGAAGGTGGTTCTTACTGGTATGCAACCTGTGGATACACGTTGTTAATTATGGTGGTGCTAGTTATCCTGATCCTGTTGTGGCTCCTTTTGACAGATGCAACTAGCTTAGACTCACAGATTTTCAAGGACTTCGCCAGGCATTCGATGAATCTGAGGGAGCTAACAATAAGGTGTGCAATGCTCGTCAAAGTATGTCTTATCCTGCATCTCACTGGGTTTGTGTGGTTCGTCAATTAGTAACTGCAACAGCGTTAGGCTTCGTGATCTGCAAGAATTCACTGGAGCGCTCTGGGGCTCATTGAGCTGCTTGGATTTATCTTCGTGCCGTGGCATATCATCGTTCCCGGTATGTAAAACATATCCCCAATGATGCGAGGATACCTTGAAAATTCGTCTGAAGGCACTTACTTATCAACGCTGTTTTCTCACCCAACAGGATTCTGTAAGCTTGCCCCAGCTCCAAGTGCTTATACTGGATAGGACCAAAATCAATGATGAAGGTTTGAGAGCACTATCTCGGGTTGCTCCATCGTTGCGCTACCTTTCTCTTCAGGTTTGCACCCGACTGCTGGCGTTCCCGGAATTCCCTGTTGATCGTATGTGTAAACTTCCGTTTATACGACAGGACTGTCGCGCCATCTCCGACGATGGAATCACTTCAATTGCGCCTTCAGATGGCTCGGAAGGGTGTACAAGTCTTGAGCTTATCGATTTGAAGGTGAGGAACAACCAGCAAATAAAGAGAAGATGTGTACTCAACCGAACTTTGTATGTGTGCGACCTGCATTCACCAGGGTACACAAGTGACAGACACAAGTCTAGAGGCGCTAGAAGCGCAGTGCCCTCGCCTGGACTTGGTGCGTGTTGACTCATGCCGGTCTGTTTCCCGAAAGCTGAGGCGGAAGTACAACGAGCGTGTTCTGCGTATTCTCGCCGGCACTAGGCTGAGCAAATGTGAACGACTTTTCGCAGAGCGAAAGAAGATCGAGATGATCCACCCTACTAAGAGCGATAGCGAGGATGACGTCGAGTCGGAAAGTGATCAGGATGAGGACGAGGACTATGTCATTGAAGTCCGACGCAGCGGCGCTTCGTACAGAAGACGACGATAAGACCCGCATGCAACAAAACTGAAGTTGAAGTGAGACCAGACTATTGAACACGAGGCGTGTTACCGCAATCACCAGCAAAGCTCAGTGCTGCTAACGCCGCTAACACCAACAAGAGGTTTATGGTTTGTTTCCCCGAAACGGAACGGAACTGGAAAGGGTTGCATTTATGTTAACACCCCGACTTCCACCAGCCTCTAGACGCAAACAGTAGATTGCACTTAGAAGCGGAGCTTCTTGAAGAAGAAGCTGACACCAGCAGCCTTCTTCTCCGACTTGCACGCGGCCTGGTTCAGGTAGCTGCAACAACACAAATAAAACACCAGCATGTCAGCATATCCGTATCCTGCGTCCTGTGTTGGTAACTGCAGTATTGACGTACCGCTCCTCGAACACCTTCTTGATGGTCTTGCGGGACTCATTGCGGGTCTCCGGGTTGGCCAGCACCTCGTCGTCAAGGACCTTCTTCAGGTCGATGTCGGCGACGTAACGGGTGGGCATGATGTGGTTGTAGTTGACGTACTTCACGAACGGCTTAACCTTCGAGCGCTTCTTAAGCTTGTTCTTGCCCATGGCGCGGGTCACCTTGCGCGGGTAGCGGTCAATGCCGGCAACTGGATACCACAATTCAAAAAAGTCCACGTCAGCTCTCCTGTCCCTAGCAACCTGTTCGCTGCGAATCTGTATCGGAGCTGCTCGTACCGATGGCGTGGCCGAACTTGCGGTCGCCCTTGCCCTCGTCGTACGTCTTCACGACGATAGCCTTGCGGCCGGCGAAGCGGCCGTTAAGCAACACAACAACCTTTCCGTTCTTGACACTACACAGCAGCATCAGCAGCACACACGTGCGTCAGTCTCTCTGTTGCGCGCCATCCTGTATATTTTTTCCCTGTTCTGCCGCCTATTGTCCGCCCGCATTGGTCGCTGAGTTTGATGTGCTCCAGATCCGTCCACTGTCTGTTGCCCCGCTTTGGGGCTCTGTCCCTGCTGCTTTCGCCATCATTTTTCCGCTCATTTCGTCGCGCCTGCCTGATGGGGCAGATCCGAAGCACCGAGCTCTGCGGGCGGAGGCTGCTGCTCCCGATCCATTCACTTACATGCCCATGTTTGCTTTTCTTGGGAGTTTTGGTGCAGTTCCGTACTGCTGGCGGCTTGGGCGGTCCAGACGCTGGAGGAACCCAAAAGCGCCTGCCAGGGCCAACCAATCGTGCGCTCCCGTATGTGATTGGCTGTTTCCCCCCGCTCGCTCGGTTCGCCGCGGCCATCGGCGGTTCAGTGAACCGCGCTAGGGTAAGGGGTACGGCCGAACCGCGCTTGCAGCGACCTTCGCACCACATTCACGCGACATTCCATGTACCGCACACCAAGATGAGCCATTGTTGCCCAAGTTGCAGTCCGACCTGCATTCAGCTCCGCTGCGAGTGCCTAGCAGCCAGCCTGCCGCGCTTGCGCTGTCGTCACGCTGCCCAATGTGCGTCAAGAGCGCGCCAGAGCTCGTACTAGCAATGCGCGGTGACGAGCAGTTACGGCCTGCGGTCATGCAGATATAAATAGGAAGAGTAATCTGTGAGTGTGGGCGACGGCGCAGCATTTCCCCTCTGACCCGGGCGGCTCGATGCTGGCGTGAAGCATTGAGGCTGTCCAGGGCAAGAGAAGCAACCAGATAACCCGAAGCCTTTCAGCAGCAGGCCGCCATGATGATGTTTTCGCGCTCCACCGCAAGCAGCAGCTCGCCTGTGGTGCATCACCAGGCCTTCCGGAAGCTGACGGAGATGCTGCAGTCCTGCTCGGAGAACCAGTGCTGCGCCGACTGCGCGTCGCGGCTCAACGATTCCATCTGGGCCAGCACCACGGTTGGCGCGTTCCTGTGCATCCACTGCGCTGGCGCGCACCGCAAGCTGGGCGTGCAGGTCTCTCGAGTCAAGTCGCTGCACCTTGACACGTGGTCGGACGAGGAAGTCGCGGCCATGAAAGGCGGCAACAAGAACGTCAATGAAGTATACAGCAAGCACCTCGACAAGTGGATCGAGGTGGATGGATCCCTCGAACTGCTGCCCAATACCGCGACTGAGATTCGGGAGAAGTGTATCCGAGCCAAGTACGAAGACCGACAGTTCACTAAACTTCCGCATTCTTTTGCATCGAGAGAGGAGAAAAATCAAGACAGCCCTGAGATTCCGGAGGAACCAACATCGTCCGCACCCTCTGGTGGTGCGGCTGAAGCATCATCGGCGTCTTCCCATCGAGCTACGGCGGATCAGAATCAGCAGCGAGGACCCGGTCAAGCAACGCAAAATGACGAACCTACGGTGGTGAAACCAGGTAGCGTTGTCGAAGTGACCAAGCGCTTTCTAAACTATTTTGTTGTGATTGGTCGAGGCGGTTTGATTCCAGACCAGAACAGTAAGTACCGCAATTTCTTTGCGTGCTAGTTATGACCAGGAGTTTTGATGAGCATACATTTGTGCTTACGCAGTTGAGAAAACGAAAAGCCCAACCGAGATTCGATTTCTCCCTGCCGTGCTGGACATGTTTCCCGAGATGTATGCGGATTCACCACTACCAGCGCATATTGGAGAGTTCGCTTTTCCTGAAGGGTTTGTCCTGAGCAAATCCTATGTAGCCCCCGTATTCTTCTCCTTTGTTCTCACGAATGTGAGTGGAGTCAAAATTTACGCGTGCGCGCTGAGATTTTATGAAGAGCTGCATCCGCTGGAAGTGGTTTCTTTGATAGCGCCACACTATCATCGCCAACGTCACCGACGCCGACCATCAAATGGTCCACACCAGCCCGATGAAAACGACGATAACCAGCGCACTCAGCTACCGCAGTGGGTTCAAGATCTCTCTGGAGACGTATCGAGTGCTCCCGGGCCCGTGTTTTGCCCCAAGTGTATCGTAGTGACGTCACATTATCCGTACTTTTCTGCTTTCCGGCAGTTCCTCCAACAGGTAATGTGTACTGAAAGCTCAATCCTTGATAGTTTAGTTGATTCACAAAGCATGTATCTGCCACATTACTAGATCTACCGAGTAACGCTTTCGGAATCCCCGATGCCGATTGAGCGATATATAGCCAACTTTCTGGTGGAGATACCGCTGCCTCCTCCCGGGCAGATCCAAGTCCAGCTAACTCTGCCGGATCGCAATCTGATTATTTCGCGCCCTCCGAAGAATGAGCTCCCTTTGGTCGATGTGAGCACTGCGTAACCGATTGCTAGCTGTTGCTGTGCATGAGCTTACGTGCTTAATGTGCTATGATGATCTGCGTAGTTTCCCTTTCGACCCCTTTTTCAAGTTTTGGATCTAAACAACGTGCTACTGGTATTCTCTTGTGTAGCTTTGGAGCTCAAGGTATTAAGTGTGCGAATGGCGGGAGCGATGTTGGTGGACCAATCATAATTAATCGGCATTTGTTGATGTTATGCGCAGGTCGTACTATGCTCGAAGCACATTGGCATACTAACTCCAGTTGCTGAGGCACTACTAGCAATTTTGCTGCCCTTTTCTTGGCAAGGAGCATATATACCGGTGCTCCCGACGTCTCTCCTTGACGTCATTGACGTAAGTGCCAAAGCTAGGATGAGCTGTTCGAACAACAGCTAATGAGCAATGTGTTGCTGTAGGCTCCTGTCCCGTTCCTAGTAGGCACACACTCGGACTGCCTGAAGCAGGTAGCAGGCAGAACGTCTAACGTTGTGTTTGTGGATCTGGATCACAATCGGTATGATAATGTTTCCTCTTCAGCTTTTACTGTGGATTTAACCATCGCATTTTATAGTGTAATTCCAGCTGTGGATGATTCAGGGAAAACCATCGCCGTGCCAAAAATCCCAGATCGAGAGGGGTCTAAGCTACGTACAAAGCTGGCCGAAGTTGCAAGCGTACGTCCGTATTTTTGCATGCTCGACGCTGGCGCAGCTCATAAACCAACTCGTATTTGTTCTGTTTCTTTAGATTTTCGACCCGTACGCTGCCGGAATCAGTCGAGTGGATTTGGTTGGTGATCCTGCGATACACTTGTCGCTTTGAACAAACTAATTGGCTCTTTATACGATTCTAGGCCTTTCCGAACGAAGAACATCTTGAACCAATTGGCAATTTTGCTTCGGATCATGGACAGACCATCCCTTTGTCGACATCTTATTCAGAGTCGAGCATGTCAGACTCGATTAATTCGCACTATTCAATTGCGAAGATCAGACGTGGCCGTAGATCCAGTGCAGCATTTAGCCTTCCGTCTTCGTCTCTGGCTCCATCTCCCTCAGCTTCGTTTGCCCGAAGTAACTCGGGTCTCAATCGGCACACATTCTCGTTATCGGCGTCAGCAACGTCTCCGACCGGAAATGATGCAAGTGGGGGGTTGACTGACAGCCGATACAACGAAACGGACAACTTTTCAACCGAGGGGGCCCGTAAAGCATTCCTACGCTTCTTCGTGACGATTTTTAAGAAGTACGCAAGTTATTTGGTGAGTAGTTTGATACTTATTTTCTTGAAACATAGAAACCCGCTGACCATTTTGCTATACAATAGAACCCACCTGCAGCACAGGCAAGATCAGGAACCCCAACGCTCTTTGACAGCAAGCGGTTCGTTCATGACAATTTCGACACTGCATCGCGCCCATTTGTCACCCAGCTAGTTGCAACGCAAATGTTCGATCGTTTTGTTGAAGATCGAGTGTTCAATCAGCAACTTCCAGAAGTTATGTTCTTCGAACAGTCAATCAACCAGAAGCTGAACCGCTCGTTGACAATTGGCAAGAAGAAGTTCGACTGCAGTTTCTTGGATGATCGCTCCGATGAAATTCAAGAAACGTTTATTGCCCCACCTCCTTCCAATATTGGGCTTCCTGATGACGGTACTATCTACAAGGTACGTAGATTGGTGAACATCCTTGCTGGTTCGTGCATTGACATACATATTTTATGTTGTATGCAGTACAAAGCATTTCCACGACTCAAAAAGTAGGCATAAAGCAGCCGCACCTCCGTCCCTGAAACATGCTCGAGACTAACCGTCGCTCAACTTGCTTTTGAAGAGCTTTGTTCGGCAATGTTAGGAAGCCACGTGAACTGTATTCATCACGTGAGCAGCAGCGCAATGTTTCGCGAGTGAGCTTTCACCAAGGGATGTTCAAGACAGCCAAGTAAGTACCGAAGTGATGTTTTTGCTCGTGTTATAAAACTAATCATCGCTGTAGCAGGTCCTTCATTGGCAGTGGTGCCAGCTGGGAAGCAACCCGCCATCTCATCATCAGCGTACGTCGCTCGTACATGTGCTTCAAGGACAACAGTTAAGGTCGAAACTAACTGCGTTTTACTGTTACGTGCATACCCCAGCTTCAGACACAGTTCCGAATGTACAGCGCACGAAAGAAGTACCACCGGCAAAGAAATGCTGCTATTTTGATTCAGCGCTGGGTTATTGCTCGGATGAAGGTACACGTGTACTTCCAGCTAAGTAGATGGGAAGACTTCAATCTGAGCTGAGTATTGTGCCACAGGGAAAAGATGATCGTCAATATTTCTTAGCTTTGCGCAATGGAGCGATTACGATACAGAAGGTATATCGCGCACACTACGCGGTAGCCAAGTATCGGGCTCAACGCAAAGCACTGGCGAAACTACAATTTGCTGCCAAGGGGTATATTGTCTACGCACGATATCAACGGGTATCGCGAGGTTTTCGTTGTCTGCAAGCACTATGGCGTGGTAGCTTTTACAAGCGCAGCTACAAGAATCTGAAGTATCAAGTTGTGCGAGCGCAGAGTCGCATTCGAGGTTTTCTGTCTCGGAAGCATACTTCAAGGTGAGGCATACTTTTTCTCGCGCTGCTTCATTGATCTGTGTCCTTAACCCTAGTTAACAACGATACGTAGGTGGAAAACTTGCATGTTTGAGGAATGCCGCCAAAAAGTCTACAACCTGTGGAGCCGATGTGATACACCTCTCCTGTATCGATCCAAATTCTGGCTCACGTTTAATCGGTCTGACTTCTTTACAATTGGGGTGGGTTCGTCTAATAGCTTACAAGCTCAACGTCATGGGTTTATGGCCTAACGGTTCTCTGTTATCCGATTACTTCAGGTTTACCACGAAGAAGAATCACGACTCAATGCTTACTTTGCCGAAACAACGTCATCTGCCGATGTAATGGGTAGATGCAAGCTTTCCGATGTATACTCCTCTCAAGACAGCACGAAGTTCAACGAGGTCCGAGGATCTGCATTCACTGCGATAAAGAGCATCGTGAGCCCGAAAGCAGGGGGATCGCATAAAACGATCAAGGAAGTCGTAAGTGAGCAATTTGCTCCGTTGTGGTTTTAAGCTAACGGTACTTGTCTTCCAGACTGCCAAAAGAATCAAGGTAGAGCGTGGTAAAGTATATACTGGGCTAAAACTCCACACACAACATTTGGTCCGGCTGGAGTACTACAAAAAGTTTAGCATTGATCCGGGCTCAAAAAGAAAGAAGAAAAGGGTGCGTTGCAGACGTATCTATCACAGTACTGCTGTGGCGGAGGCTTACGGTTTTGCTGCAATGTAATTCAGCTTGCGGCGCTTGTTTGGACCAGCTACGAAACAGCGGAAATGAGTGCAGAGGTACCCACAGTCTGCAGTCAAACGTTAGTGATTCTCGTACTTACCCCATCCTGTTAGGTTGTCGTGTCTACCTCTATTACGTCAGACCAGCCCCACGCTCTTCCAGCCCAAATCGATCACCACAAGCAGGTATAGTGCGTATACACTGATTTATGGCAACATGCTCTTCATGCTCATCATGAAATGTTCGACTTGCACCTCAGCTTCGTCTTCGGGACGACTTGGCGTTTACAGTCAATGCGGCGCTCAAGTCGATCCGAGTATCAGCAACGGGCACTGCTGATTGTTCGTCACCGATGCATTTACCGCGCGACCGTGCGCTCGACGAACTGCAACACCAAGTACGCATGCTCGCGCTGCAGAACCGCCGCCTTACAGGAGACCTCGCGGCATCGAGACGCGAGACGAGCGAGTTGCGCGTGAAGCTTCAGAAAGCACAGCAGCAGTCGGCGCAGCAGCTGCAGCGCACGCGCTCCAACAACCTTTAGACGTAGACACCTTGAATTGACAGTGGCACCTTGCCATTTGATTTGGATTTGAGTAGGTACATCTTGAAGTTGATATCGTGTGGTGCACACAATAGCTTTTCGACGCACGAGAGCACCGAGTAACTAATCTTTCCTCCGCGACTCCCCACCACCATGCCGGCGCATCTGTACGCCCTGGACGACGCTCTGCTGGTGCACCTGCTGAGTTTCTGCGCAGCTCGAGATGTGGAGGCAACGACGAAAGCCTCCAGAGTCGTCGCCTTGCACTTACTGCCGCAGTATCCCGAAATCTGGCGCGTTCTGTTCGTTCGTCAGTGGGGAAAGCTCAACTTCAAGCTGGACGCAGTGACAGAGGACGCGAGGAACCTTCAGATCGACTCGCGCCTGCGAGAGCTGTTCCCTGCGTACGTGGAGACGCTGTGCATAGTGCTACTCGTAGGGACTACTGATACTCACATTTTTGTTAAACTACCTGCAGTGAGTGCACGGAGACTCGCATGTTCCAGCTATTGTCGCGTTCAGTCGTTCCGTTGCCGTCAGGAATGGATATTGGGGCGACCCAAAACTCGTGGGGGTACTCGGATACTCACCACAGGTAGCATTCTTCCCAATTTTTCTTGTATCCCTGAGTTGAAGAACGTGCTGATTGTATTGTGTGTTTGCGGTGTAGAATTGTCCCACTCGAGCAGGAGAAGGGTGCTAACCAGGGGAATTACTCTTCAGTTACGACGTTTGCCTTTGATGGCAAGCGCTTCGGCAACGACCGATCTGTTCGGGCAAATGCCCCATTCCCAGCATCCTTCTACGTCGCCGTGTTCAAGCGTCGGGTGCAAGACAAGACAAGCAAGAAAGAGATGTTTGTTTATCAGATTGGTGCAACGGAAAGTGGATACTTTGAAATTACTATCTCGGACCCTGCTACGCGACCCAGTGGTCACACAACGAGAAATGGCAGAGTGGAGATGACAGCTATCGGCTTGGTCCCCTCCACTTTCCCGCTGGTGGGCAAGCAACCCGGCTGGACGATCCCGTCGTTCGGGTACCATGGAGACAACGGAAAGCTTTATTCAGCGTTTCCTGTAAGTAAATCGTGTGCATACCCTTGATGTAAATTTGGTACGCGCGCTGATCGTGTTTGTGCGCCTGTTATTGTAGTGGAAACCTTTTGGTCCGCGATTTGGAGTGGGCGACACTGTTGGTTGCGGCATCCGACGCAGAACGCGCGACGACGATCGGCGTGCTTTCTTCACTCATAATGGCCACAATGTTACGTGTGAGAATATCCGCCTCTTTATTGTTGTGGGTTTATATACAACGAATGTGCTAACTAGAGTTAATGTAGCGCCGTTCCTTCCAGGAGCCAGTCGGTATATTCCGTGCGACAACGACCAGGAATGGTTTCCTGCGGTCGGTTTGGACTCCCCTGACACTATTCACGTAAACTTCGGCCAGCAGCCGTTCAAATGCGACCACGTGATCGGTGCGTTCATGTTAACTGCGAAACTGTGAAACGATAGATGAACTGATGGACAAACCGCGTGATGCATTGGTACAGACGAGCTGTTCAGCGAGTGCACGGGGACAAACGCTCTTGTGGCTCGCCAAATACTGCAGAATGCCAACAAATCGCGTTTCCGCGCTGTTCGCCGCAACTGCATCGACGCGTTCATCGCGAACGTCCTGGAGCGTCGACGCTTGACCACAACGTGAGCCATGCATTGCCATTCTGGATCTGTGGTGCCGTGATCAAGGCAACATCGTACAAATCAAAGCATGTAGCCATCTTCCCAATCTGATAACCCTCTCCAATAGCATATACATATTGTCACATTCCAATCAGCAGTAATTTTCAGATTTGCCGCGAACTGCAATGGCGACCTTCGCCAGCCTCGGGGACGAGCTTCTAGCGCACGTCCTCGCGTTCGCAGCGCCCCGCGACGTGGAGTCGCTGACTGTAGCATCGTCTGCTGTCGCGCGCGACGTAGTTCCGTGGTTCCCTTCCATCTGGAAGAATATTTTCCTCAGGCGGTGGGAGGCGCTCAACTTCCCACTGGACGGCGTGGCGCAGGGCGAAGCGCTGCTTCAGATCGACGGAAACCTAGACGCGTTGTTCCCCAGGTTGGCCCGAAATTATTACAAAGGTGTTGTAGTGATGTTTTATTGCACAAGCTAACCGCGCTTTGGCTGATTCGACACAGTTCGTGCACTGAAAGCCGCAAGTTCCAGTTGCTGGCCCACGCCGTTATCCCCGTGCCGTCCCATGCCGATATTAAGGAGACGCAGAAGGCTCTCGGATACACAGATGCATACCACCGGTGGGGCTTGGCTGCACTTGTGCAGGTGATGTCGTGGGGATAACTAATCTTTTTTTCTGTTGTTGTGATTCAGGATTATTTCACTGCAGGCGCCAGACTTGAGAGCGGCACACTCAGTCGACTTCGCTCTGGATGGAGGGATGCTTGGTGACGATCGATGCGTTCGGGCTAATATGCCCTTCCCGACGACATTTCATGTCGTCATATACAAGCGCGAACCGACAGAAAGTGACAAAGCACAGGGTCAAACCCGGCCGGTTTATCGGGTCGGAGTTGTTCCTGGTGGATACTTCGAGCTGACCTTGTCGAAGCGGCAGCATCGACATGCCGCTCCTTCGTGGTTTGGGCAAGATTCGATGACATCGATAGGTCTGGTGGGCTCCAAGTTTCCGCTTGTTGGTAAGCAACCAGGCTGGACACGGAGATCATACGGCTACCACGGCGACGACGGACGCTTCTACCACGGAACTCCGTTTGAGGTGCGTAGTGCTTCCATACTTGTTCCGTTTGGATCTATGTGGTCGATGACTTAGCTTGTGCCTTGATATTCCAAGCAGGGTCACCCGTTTGGTCCAATGTTCAAGGCCGGGGGCACAGTTGGTTGCGGCATCCGCATTAACCCGAATACCGGGACTATGTTTCTGTTTTTCACACATAATGGTGAGCTTATATCAGGCGAGGATGGCGCTCTCGTGGAGTGCGAGCATCGGAACTGGTACCCAGCGGTTGGACTGGACTCGTACGACGCGTTACACCTCAACTTTGGACAAGAGCCCTTCGTTTACAACGCCATTGCAGGTATCAGCTGATTTTCTACATGAGTAAGGAAACCCTCGTACCGACACTAATCATGGTTTGGTTTGACCTCGACCTCGTAGACGAGCTCTTCGAAGAGTGCAGCGGCATGGCGGTTGCTGTTTCGGAACAACTGCAATGGTACGACATCGGTGACTCGGACGGCGAGAGCTCTGAGGACGAAGAACGGGGAGACGATGATAATTCGGGTGACGACATTGGGTCGGATATGTCCGACGAAGATATCAGCGCCAGGCTGATCATGCGCATTTTGGCGATGCGTCAAGCAGGCATGGACGTCGCTTTATAAACTATATTTTTGTCGGTGCTTCAATAACTCGACTTTGGGTGCCGCGTCTGGAAAGGCTGCTCAGGAATGTTTGGTGTCTGGGCGGAAATTCGCCAGGTCTTGCAACCAGAAGCCTACCGGTAAATGGATAAGCGTGGCCTTGTTCAGTTCATTGGTAATTTGTCTCAGAGATTACCGTTCCTGCATGGACCACTTGACATCCATGTACATGTTGTATACACGTACTGAATGCATACAATTTAGATAGAAGGCATATCGCATTTTTTTTCGTTTTGTCGTAGATATCTCGTAGCTAGTATTCGAGAGGTCCTCGTAGCAACAATAACCTTTCTAAGAAATATAAAACATTTTTTGCTTGATATTTGTTACTCTCTCACAAGCGCTATCGACGTCGTGATCGCAAACTTCACAAGATTTTTTGGGTGAGTACTGTATGCAACCCAAAGTGTTGCTCGGGGAGGGTACACATGTCGGCGGAAGCGATCGAGCTACATTGAACATAATTCGAGTTGCTAATGTGAAAGAATGGAATAAAAAGCGTAGGCTGCGCTGGTCAGGCAGCAAGTTGTCTTCTGATGATCGCAGCACTTTGAGGTTGATAAGAGGAGCTTAGAACTCCATGCTTTCGGGACACGTGGAGAATCGCAGGTCGTCTTCATGAAACAACAGGAATGCTAGTATAATACTAGTAGTATTCCTTCCGAGCCAGCCGCCTGTGCTAGCTGTTCAAACAGCACACTGGAGCTGTACAAATTAGTGAATGGAGAATCCGGGTACATGTAGAGTGCGTAGAAAATCATTGATAACGTATTTTTTACTACTCAGAACCACCTTTCAAATAGCGTTCAATTATCGGTATACCGATAAACACTGAAAATTCAATGTACAAGAAGTAGGATATCTGGATTACGTACAATCACTGAAATGAGAGAGCATTAATAATAAATAGTAACCCGGTCTCTATTCGTAAAAATACGTTATATCCTCTAGCATTACTTTTAGTCAGTTTCTGCTAAGATTTCCCTAAAGACTGTCTTCTGCATGCTGACATGTACATGCAGGGGGATTCACATGGTCTATCATGTCAAATACATGTTTGTACATGTACAGTTAGTGTTGGCACTTGCAATTTCACAGTTAATATCCGTGAAATTTAAATCAGGGTTATTAACTGTTAATAACCGTGCTCTTCCGACTTTCACATTTATCTACGTCATGGACCAATTCCCGAGTCTTTTCGCCTTACAGACTAATTTCGCCGTCTAGCGCACCGGGGGGGGGGGGGGGGGTTCGAGCGGCCGCGGCCCACTGCTCGGCCTCTCAGCTCTATCGTCCAGAAGAAGGCACCCAGACAGCATATGCAGGGGGAGATTAACGGCCCGGTGATATCCATCGCGTCGAACGCCAAGCAGGTAGCGTTGCTCAAGTACGCCGGGCCAAGCAACTGGCAGCAGCAGCCGCAGAAGGCGAAAAAGTAGCAGCGACAGTAGGGCGGCGGGAGTGCCAAGGAATTCAAGTTCACCATGAACAGCTCGTGGGTCTTCACGCACGCCCACCCAGTCCAAGATCGAGGGATACAGCAAGAAGAAGGAGGCTGACCAAGAAGGAGAATGGGTGAATTCAAGACCCCATATGCAGAAATGGACGCGATGAAGGTGCAATGTACTGTCCGCATTTTAACATTACGGGGGCTATATAAGTAGGTACTGAGTATGTGACTTCGTGTCCTCTAGATGACGCTAATGTAGCGCTAGCCTCCACCTTGAGTTTGTGGCGATCTTAGAGGAAGACGCCGCCGCCCCTTTCGAGCACGCCGACGATGATGAACACGATGAGGCCCGGCAGGAACGTCTTGGGGAGCGTGAGAGCGCTCGTGAACGTGTCCGGCGCAACTGAGCTTGGCCTCGACCGCCTCCTGCACCCAGTAGGTCGGCAGCACCACATCCATTGGCAGTGGCGGCCGCATGAGATCGCTCATGGAGGCGTAGTTCGCAGTGGTTGAGGCAGACAGCGCGTACGAGATCTGCAACCGCTTGCGCGCGCTCATGGTCCGGCCCGTGCCCGACGCGAGGTCCACGAACATATCGTACGCGTTGATGTAGCTAAAGACCAGGTTGCCGTCCGAGTCGTATATGGTGTGGGCCGTGCCGTCGCTTTTGGCCATCTTCACGTCCTCCAGCAACGACGAGTCTCTATAGACGAAGAACGGGCCGGACATGTACGACAGGAAGCCCGAGACGAAGCTCGGCTGGAGCAGGCCGTTCACGAGGATGACCGAGCCGATCGTGGCGTGCTCGTCCGAGTACGCGTAGACGTCGATCGCGGTGCCGAACCGGTGCAGCAACTCATCGTCGATGTCCGCTTCCGTGCTCAAGCTTGCGATGGAGGTGGAGATCTCGACCGAGCCCAAGTACTAGGCGAAGCCGGCGATGGTGGTGTGCTTGGCCACGCCGTCGATGGTCACACCGAGGGCTTGATGCCGGCTCTCGTTTGCGAAGAGGACGAAGGATAGCATGAACAACAATAGTATAAAATCTGTTATTAAAGAGCAATATCGAACATATATTATCTTGTTTTCCATGTTACCGCTCTGCGTACTTGAGAAGCTGGAGGGGTTCGAAACATATTCTGAGCTGGCGCTGCATCTTCTTGCACGACTTCACCCGCTTCCTTTTCTTCGCACTCAGAGGTAATAGCAGTTACCGCCGCCCGGTGGTGGTTGCTAGCGACATTTTCATCTTCTTCGTCTTCGCTCTCATCGCTGATGTCTCTGTCGTCGTATGCATCTGGATAGAGCTGGTATAGGATATGGTTCACTTCGGATTTTCGCGCAATATTCGTATAAACGAACACAAGCTTGTTCACACGCTCAGGCGTGAGGCGATTTCGCAGCTTCGTGTGGATAAATCCGTGGATACTCCAACTACGCTCGCTGGACGCCGACGACGTTGGGATATACAACAGCAACTTTGCGAACTCCTGCACCAACGCGTAGGTGTTCGAGGTTTCTAACGACCACCATGCGATCGGGCTGTAGGCGTTGTTATCTTCACGCGATTTACCTGTCCACGCAGACTTCATGAGGACAAAGTCTTGCAGCTGCTTGTGAAATTTCTCCGCCAACTCTGTCGGTACCAATTGCACTCCTGGGCAAGTTGCGCGGCATCGTTAATCAGTGTCTTGACCTCCAGATCGTTCGGATCGTACATGGTCTTGGTCTGGTCAAGCAGGTATGCAATTTTCACCGTCGGCGTGCATATTTTTCCTCGTCGGGCATTTATCAGCCCGAGCACCTCCGCTTGTAGCAACACGCTACAATCATCAAGGGGCTCGGTGTAGACTGGATGTTTGCATAGCCAACTAAACTGGTGATACACCAACGACAAGCTACAGGCGTCGCGCTCAAACGCATCGAGGCACTTGTTGACTGGCTGGATGAGCTTCAACACAACGGCAGTTTTTTGCCAGAAATCGTCATCGCGAAAAATAACGAGTGCCTCGTCTAGTGATGCTCCCTTGTAGTTCTTAAGCAGCGCCGTGTCCGAGAAAATAGCTGCAATGATGTCTTTGTTGTGAAAGACGTTCGCGACGCATTTTTCATGTGTATACCACCGTGTTGGCACTGGTAGCGAGAGGCGCCGCCGTTTTTCTCCTTTCTTTCGAAGCGCTTTTTGCAGATCGCGAAATCTTGACCACAAGCCCCGATGATCCTTGAAAAACCGAACCAGTTGTTTTGCATGGTCAAGCACATCCTTGAAAAAATCCAGATTGAAAATATCTTTCATCAGAAGATTCATGCCGTGCGCAGTACAGCCCGTACATACAAGTCCGACGCGCTGATTTCTTACGCGTCGCCACGCCTTCTTCATGTTGGCAGCGTTGTCCGTCACTACCGAAGTGACTTTGCCTGAACCAATTACAGACTCGAACTCCAAAATGGTTCACCAAATTGTACCAGCGATATACTCTGCCGTATGAGCTTCAGCTTTTGAGTTGATCGACTTCCAAAATAAAGGTGGGGTCCGAGGGTTCACAAAAACAAAGTTGATAATGCTATCCCCATTTGTGTTGGACCACCCATCCGTAATGAGGGCCAAGTTCGTCACGCCACTCTCCGTTATTCTCAAAATCAACTGAGTCTTCTCGCGGTCGTAAAGGACGTCCAGCAAACGCCCCGAAATTTGACGTCGAGAAGGCAATTCATAGTCAAACATAGCTTGGAAAAGAGGCTCCTCCACACCACGAAAAGGGATCCCAGTCGAAATAAGCCCAATTGCAACCCGCAAATAATTCTCTTCTTTGATTTCTTGGGCCGACTTCTTTGGTGTGGGTTGTGACGATGGTGATGGCCGCGGGGTCTTGCGCGGGCGAGATGAGCCGCTACTCCGTGGTGAATTCGTACCAAAAAGTCGCTTCGTCAATGTTGGCGTTCTTGGGCCCCGAGGCTTCGAAGGGGTTGTCAGCTTCGCCGCTTGCTTGTGTCGGAGGTCCGCTTCGTGGCGCCGCCACCGTTCCTTCGTCTCCTCGCCGATCTTGTCGCACTTGATCGTATGCTGCAGCAGGTTTCGCGACGGCTGCGCGTTCGGCAGCACCATTTCGCAAGCCAAGCACATGGCATCAGGATGGGGTTTTACACCCTTAATTCTGGGTGCGTGCTCACGAAACAAAGCCCAAATTTTGTGTTTCGGCGGAGCCATTGCGCCCTCCTTGCTGATGTTCACAGATGTTTGCGGGACACACCACGGCTTTGGAGCAGTACGCACGAGGGTCAACGGTAACGGAGTCTGGAGTTTGGACACGTCAGAGTCGAGGACAGACGGTCAGTCGTTCAGGCGCCGAGAAGGTCGCGCCTTGCACACCAGCAGCAGCAAGCTCACAAGGTAGTTGCAGTCGTTGAGGGGCACTGCCAGTTGCGTCGAGGAGCTCGCTGCCAACGACGAGTGCAGGTCGCGCGTCGTAGGTCCTACGCGCGTCGGCAAAGGCACCAGTTCGGCCAAGCAAGGGCCGGAGCAGGCTCTGGGGGGGGGGATCTAAGTGTGAAGCCTCTAGATTCCGAAGGGGTAGCGGGGAAGACCGCCAAATTTCAATACCTCCCCTCTGTATTGCGCAACTTCGATATTCACAGTGAACATCAGCTGTGAATTACGTGTGAACATTCTTTTTAACTGAATGTAACCGTTAATAACTGGTAATTAAACGTGAATTGCCAACCCTATGTACAGGAATACCCATTTTAGAAAAAAAAAGAAACGCACAGCACGTCCGATATTGCAGAGAAACGCGGTGTTAAACAGCGCTGATTGTCAACACCTCGGCCCATCCTAAAGCTTCAGAGCTCGAGCTTCAGCTTCCGCGCTGCCCGCCGAGCTTTGTTCTCTGCCGCTCTCCGCACCCCCTTCTCTCCGCACAGCTCGGGCCCGCTTTCGCGGCCGGGAAAAGCATCAACTTCGGCCGGTTCAAAGTGATTGTGGCACGCAGGACTGGCTATTGTTGTGTTACCTTACACCAAGTGGCCGGGCTCTGTTCGGCGATTACGCTCTACAGTTGATCGACCCATCCGGATACGTATTGGGTACCCATCCGACCTGTCCCAAACTTGGACTTCTTTCGTTCCGCCGGGCCAAGCCAAGTTGCAGTTGGTCGGTCATTCTCGAGTCCGAGGCCATGTGCCAAGCCCGCCGACCTTCACTCTCGCTCAAGCGCGCGGCCTGCCGCCTCACGGCGCTGGACGACGTGCTGCTGGCGCAGATCCTGCAGTTCGCGGCCGCGCGCGACGTGGAGGCGCTCGCCGTGGCCGCGCGAGTCGTCGCGCGAGACGTGCTGCCGCGCTTGCCGGGGCTCTGGCGCGCGCTCTTCGTGCAGCGCTGGACGACGCTCAACTTCCCGCTGGACGACGTCGCCTCTGGCCGCGCGGAGCTCGCCATCGACCCGCGACTGCGCGCGCTCTTCGGCCCTGAGACCAGCGAGAGCCGCATGTTCCAGCTGCTGGCGCACGCCGTCGTGCCCGTCCCGTCCTACGCGGACCTGGACCAGACCTGGAGGTACCAGGGATACAGCGACGATAAGCACCGGTAAGTGAGTTGATGCATAGAAGCTTAGGCCGGAGGAGGAGCGCTGCTGCGTGCGTGGTGGTTGAAGTTGTGCTCTCGGTGTTTTGGAAGATTTTGACTGACTGCTGTGTTCTGTGTCTTTGCTGTAGGATCCAGTCGCTGCATGACGCCGACACGCGCCCGTCACACGTAGTGCGCTTCGCGTTCGACGGCGACGAACTGGGGGACGACCGCAGCGTCAGAGCCAATGTGCCGTTCCCGCCGGGTTTCCACGTCGCGGTGTTCAAGCGACAACAACCTGGTAGCGACGGGAGGCCGCTGTACCAGGTTGGACTGGTGGCGAGCGGATACTTTGAGCTCCAAATCGTGCATCGTGAGGGGCCGGAGAACGTGCAGCAGGAGGAGGAACTGACCTCGCTGGGACTGGTGCCGGCGAGCTTCCCGTTGGTCGGACGGCAGCCTGGGTGGAACCAAAAGTCTTTCGGCTACCACGGGGATGACGGCCGCTTCTATCGCCAAACGACGAGGGTAAGCTTTCTATTAGTTTTGATTGTGTGACTGATTGGAGCCTATCGTCTGACTTACATTTTGCGGGCATTCTTTTGACAGGGTCGACTTTTTGGCCCACGCTTTGGAGTGAATGATACTGTGGGCTGCGGTGTGCGGCGGAATATGAGCACGGAGCGGTCACACGTATTTTTCACTAGCAATGGCGAAGAGCTTCCTCGAGCTGACGAGAGCGAGATGGAAAATCTGCACACGAGTTGGTATCCGGCTGTCGGAGTGGATTCGTACAACGAGGTGCGCGTCAACTTCGGGCAGGAGCCATTTGCGCACGACAGCATTGTCGATGAGCTGTTCGCTGAGTGCGATCCTAGCGTTGTTGCCGCGTCGGCGTTACCGTGGCACTACATCCGGGAGTACAGCATCGATTGCTTGGTGTGGCGTCGCCAGCAGACATGCGAGGCACGAGCGGGCGATGCTGACGAGTGGAAGGATACAATTGCTGATGACGACAAGTCCGCGCAGAAGGAGGAAACCTGCATGAAGAAATGGATGTTCGGGATACTGACTCGCCGACAGCAGAACCGGCTTGCATCGAGAGAAGAGAACGCGAGTGAAGAGCGTGCCGCTGCGTAGTGGAAGCGTACGACGGAACTGTACGCAGATGCATTGAAACGTTATGCATGTGTGAACTACTGAAAGTAAGTATATATCGTGGTCGCGGCTTAACGAAAGTTGGTGTACTGTATCGCATCTTCACAAAAATTGGTGTAGGTGAGGCTAACACTCTTGCCCAACAAATCGAGGCGCTGTAAGGTGCGTCGGCGTGTATGTAAGTAAGGTCAAGCGTGCACATCCTTGCTTGTTACAGCTGCGCCAACTGCGCTTCCATTGCGTCCACGAGAGCGGGGATGTTTTCCTGGCCAAGCTTGTTTTCTGCGCAGAATGTAGTTGCCAACTCGCGCGGGTTGTCATTGCGGTGGACAGGCAGCTGAATCGACGTTCCATCCCCCATGTCGATGTCGAGCGTGAAAAGAAGGATCCCACGAGGGTTCACCGGAGTCTCTGCAGCTTGTACGGGGGCTTCAGGCTCAGCTTGAGCTGGCGCTTCGGGTTGAGCCTGAGCTTCAGCGGAGGCCTCTTCTGCCTGCTGCTGTCCGGCTTGAGATTGCTGGCGTTCCTCGAGAATGTTGAGAATCGACTGCACGAGCACATTCTGGCACGCCAGCAATTGGTCTCCGTCAAATTCCACGCCCAATTCTGCACGAACGATCTCGTGCTTCTCGACACAGAACGCGTTGGCAGCGTGGTAAGGCTCCTGGCCTTCGAAGTACTCGAGGTTGTACACGTTGCCACTGAGCGTCACAGGGATTGAAAACAGAGGTTCCGGTCGTGTCGGCTCAGCCGCCTGCTCTACGACTTGAGGCTGTTCCTGAGCTCGTTGCTGCTCCAGAGCGACAACTCGCTCGCGCACGAGGGCTGAAAGCTGCACCACATTGTCGTTGAACCTCTCGGTTTCACCCAGCCCGACAGCAATGAGAAATCGCTGCACCGTAGCTTCAACATCGTCACCGTCGAAGTATTCCAGATTTGCCTGGCGCTGCTCATCAAGGTTGATCGGCACTGTCACCAATGGCTGTCGCGGTTGCTGCGGCTGCTCACCAGCGGGTTCTGCTGCAGTCTGGGCCTGAGCTTGAGCTTGCGCCTGTGCTTGAGCTTGGGTTTGCGCCTCTTCCTCCAGAATAGCCGCCATTCGGGCGTCCACAATGCCAATCAACTGCGGCATCAACGATTCGATAGTCGCGTCGTCGTTGATGTCGTTTTCGCTCAAGAAGCGAAGCGCCGTTTCCCTCGCCGTAGATCCTTCGTAGTGGATCATGATCGCAGGCTGGTTGTTCAACGTCAGAGGCTCCGAGAACAGCTCCCGCCTCTGTGGAGGCTGTTGCTGCGTCACTGGCTGCGCCACTTGCTGAGGTTGCACTTGTTCCTCAACGGACTCCGCGGTCTGCCTGTTATTGATCTCATTGACAATCTGGTTGGCGATCTGCGGCGCCACTCTGTCCATGAACTCTCCGTCGTTCACGCCGATGCCTCGCAGCGTCTCAACGGCCTCGTCCATCGGGTTGCCGCCTTCAAAGTGGCGCACAGTGATCTCCCTTCCATCCAGAGACAAGGCGAAGGCGAAGAGCTCCTTCTTGGGCGGCTGTAGCTCCTCTAGCTTCCTGTTGACAAGCGATACCAGCTGCGGGTACACCTCCCTCATGACGTCCATGCTGAAGCCGCTGGCGTAGAGAAACCTCTCCACTGCAGCTTCAGGCGTCTCCGTCTCATACTTCAGAAGATCCCCCGTGTAGCCATCGATGGTCAGCGGGATGGAGAGCTGCACGCTGGGCATGGGCTCCTGGGGCTGCTGGGCCGCCTCCACCTCCTGCATCTTGTCCTTCAGCAGCCCCGAGAGCTGGTCGATGACCGCGCGCACTTGCGCATCGTCCGTGGCGGCCATGAGGCCATTGGAACGGGCGAAGGACGTGGCCGCGTCCTCGAAGCTCTCGCCCTTGAGCAGCTGCAGGTTCCGCAGCGAGCCGTCGATGTTCACGGCCATTGTGACCAGCACGTCGTTGCCGCTGGGCTGCTGTTGGGCGCGCGCGGCGGTCGCCAGCATTGCCGGGAGCAGCAATAACGAGGCCTTGACCATGACTGGGGGGAACTAGGCAAGGGGGGAACGCGTGGACTACTTCTGCTGGTGCTGTGCTGGACGTGGAATGACAGGCATGAGGGGCATGCAAATCTATGGAAAGATACCGTTGGTCCTCAAGTTGCAACGGTTGCAAGTTCAGGACCCCCTGCGACCTTTCGTTCGTACCACGTTCAGACGACATGCGCGAACGTGGCTACATTTGTCCAAAAAGACTTGTGCGGACCAATTTGCGTCGGCATCAGTGGAGCGTGGATGAAGATTGCCTGCCCCTTGCACCAGAACGTCTGTACATGTACTTGAGATGTTGTCTCAAGCTTCACGCCCGGAGCATGATGCACTTCACCCACAGCGGTGCAGCTTGCGAAATTCGGCTAGACCACCAGGGATTTGAAAGGGAAAACTATCGAAAAACTCGCTAGAAAATGGTGATGAACAGCTAGGAGT